CAGAGTGATAGCGACTGTCTCCACCAGGAAATAGAAGGGTTCTACTATTAAAGATAGGCAACCACAGAGGACCCATCGCTTACTGGAATTCATACCTATCCTTCCTCTCAAGTACACTGTTCTGCTTCTGTTGGCTCCACGGCTGATAAATTGGGGCAGCTAAACGGAATAAGAGTCCTGAGAGTTCCATATATTGATTAATGCCTAAAGAGAGAGTTACCGTAACAAAATCGTGTCACTTTTTTTGTGATTTGATCTTGAATTTGCCTCACACAGCACATCAGCCTGCACTGGTCCAGTAATTAAACAATACGGTCATGATTGTTAACAACTCTATGTGGCCGTGTGTGTTTCTGTGTCTGACTTCACATTACATCATAGGAGTGGAGCTTTGGTAAATTAGTTAAGAGATAACTAATAAATACACCTGAAAACAATTCTTACCCTTAACGAGATTTGCAAGCCTTATTTTTTACAACGTATTGTGCTCTGCGTCAGGATTAGGGCATTGAGTGAAAAATGTGAAAATTTTAATGCTTATCTGAGAAAAGTGTATAAAGTGAGCGGTTTTACAGTCTTAAAACATCTATAAGGATAGTAAGAAATACAGGTGGCTACTTCATGGGTTTTGCTTTAGTGGGTTATTTTTAGAACATAACTCCCACAATAAACGAGGGAGCATTCTATTTACTGTTGTAAATAACCATTGAATACAGTGTTTGTCATGTCTGTGACTGTGTGATGCAAAACTGGCAGTGGTAGACTTCGCACCAGATACAGTTTACATCAAGCATGCAGCTATCAATTTAGACCACCAAAGGTATGCTAAGTTAGCTAAGCTTTGTGATGCACTGATATGACATTTTTGGGCTGATACCGATATTAAGATCACTGTTATGGCCGATAACCGATATTTTCTTATACCGATATACTGACATTAATGCTTCTAAAGTCAGCCGATTTTGTATAAAATGAAAATTATTAAAGCAGAATTTACGTTATTATGTATACACACCACACACATTTACGCTTCTGAGATGATTACATTCACTGTTCACAAGGCTAAACAATTACACATCACCCCCCTCACCCTCTGAAACAGGCAAACAAATGGAGACAAGATGGAAAAAATATCGGTTGTTGATATCGGCCCGATACCGATATGTTAAAAAATGACTAACATTGGCTGATATCGATATTGATGCAGATATATTGTCCATCCCTATTTTTGAGCTTTGCTTGGTGCAAATAAAAAGTTACCCATAGGGCTTGCAATACATATGAATGGGTTTTAAAGAATTAGCTTTGTGGCGTTTTGTGTTCCAGACCCTTAAAGGAGCAATTTGTCAGAATTCTACAGTAAAATAATCAAAACAGTCTCTCTCAATCACGTTGGAAGAAAGGTTACATTGAAAGATTTCTTTCTCAACCAGCTGGGGGGTTGCAATTTTTTCGCATTTTAAAAAGACAGAAGAGTGATGTAGTCATTGTTTACAATCTGTCCCACCTCCAGAGCCAATCACATTTGTGCCTGCAGGGTTGCCAAGTCTGCGCCAGCATTTATAATTTGACACTGGTCTGCAAAAATCAGCAACCTTGTGGAAAGAAACAAAGCCTGTAAAAGAATCGACCCAGAAGTTATTTCTTGTAGCTCTTAAGGAGCCACAGCATCTTTTAGTTTTACTATTATATCAGGTAAAGGATGCTAGAGGCTAACGTTGAGCAAACAATGCTTACAGGGAATTCGATACAATAGTCGGTTTTAAAAATATCTTAAATTTTCTATTACTATTAACTCATCAGCTTGCTGTGTATGACTTATCTTACTGTTTTGAAACATGCAGTACCCATTTTTAACCATAGAATGTCATTCTTACATTATGAACCTTTAAATGTTTATAAAAATGCATTTGAGAACTGCTATTGACCCTTTGCACCGACGTCACCTAATCACGTGGGTCCACCATGGTGGATGGCAAAAGCATGTAAACAGTGAGCGACACGATTACTAAACAAAGGGAAAAGTAGAGCCTGAAATTGTTTTTGCGATCAAAACAAAAACAAAACTCCTCCAGCATTCCTTTAACTAGTTCATGCCCAGTTCAGTTATCAGAAGAAGTAGCGCATCTAGCGGGGGCTCACAGAGAGCAGTATGTTAACTAGCTTACCAACGTTAGCTTACGTTCTCTGCAGCTGTTCACCGATGTAAACATGTTGCTGAATTTGCCTAAATTCACCCCTCTGGATCTGTAACCTTATGTTATAAACAGCGTTTCACTTTACACCGAAGCTGATTTTTAAAAAGTCCGGATCCCTACCAGCTCCTGTTGCTGGTGGTGTAACCGGGTTCAGCTGCTGCTCTCACACCGGAATGAGAAGATCTCTGAATGCCGACGCTCATATTAATAAATAAATAATGGAATTTTAACACGTAATCATACATCGAAGCTTTAATATTAATAAATGTCTCGCTTTACATTACAGTGGATGGCGCTCAGCCTCTGTGGTGAAATACCCATCCATCCATCAGGATTATCAATAACTAGCATAAACACATCACGTTTATCCCTGTCCCTGTCTTCCTCATGAAATAAACGAACGTTAATCTTACCCGGTAAAAACATGTTCGCTACAAATCTGAGGCCTGCTAGTCCGCTTGATTGATTGATCGCTGCAGTTCATCTCCGTCCTCAGTCTCCATCAAAGTTATTAAAAAGACAAAACGAGTTGAGTTTACATCCTTGTCTGTTAGTGCAGCCAACCATGCAGCAAGCTAAAACCATTTTACTGCCAAATCAACTAAAAAAAGCGATAAAAGGCTACAAACTGGCTTGTTTTGACTACCTTCACTGGAATTTTTACGGGTGTAAACGGTCTTTTTGCCGTCCATCATGGCGAAGTGGGCGGTCTCATGAGTGGTGTGACGTCACGTGCAAAGGGTCAATAAAATCTAAGATATTGCAGCTGTTTTAACATGGTAGCAATACTCGATGGCCCTGTCAAACCTGAACCCTTTTCTTTCAAACTCAAGAAGCAAACAACAGTGATTTAGATATTTATTATTCATAACCTTTACACTGAAACACACTTTAAAACAACTTAAATATTCATTTAAAGAAGTTGAGCTGGTCTGAAAAGGCTTGAATTCATGCTTGAGTTAAATCTTCTTCAAGTTAAATAGGTTTGTGTGCTGGAGGGAAACATTTGTCATGGATTTGCACCAGTCGGGCTTTAGCAACATGTTCATCTGAAACTTATGACAGCTGTGTGATTGTCACCAAGTGTCTCCAGTCAATTCCAATTAAATTAGATCAAAACCACTTTGCTGTTGAAGCTATTTTGCATACATTTAGAGAATTTAAATGAGTTCTGCTACTATTGGGCAAAATTTCTTTGTTTACCAGTCATGTCCAAAGCTTGAGTTGCAGAGTGGATTGGCATTTGGCGTTGTATGGATTTACGCCTTTCTTGTTTTTTTCCTCTCAGAGCGGATCTCTGTAGCACACGCTTGTTATGCTCTCACTCTGAAAAGATGTCAAACACTTCAGTGCTTGTGCGCACAGACACAATGCAGTGACCATTCTAGGAATACACACACACACACACACACACACACACACACACACACACACACACACACAAAGGACGTTTTGTTATACTTCTGTGTGTCACTGCAGCTTCACAGTGCCGCATTGATAGGCATTTGTTTATGCCCATGTTGACAGGAAAAGATCTGCAGAGGAAAACAGGAGTACTATGCAATAGGCGGACTGAACTAGTTGTGTTTTAAAAAAACTGTAAATTGTCCAATTACCTCAATAGGAATAGAGTTTTGTTAAATGCGTGTTTAATGCCAAAATCTGGAATAACATGCCTAGCAATAAAATACCAGCAAAAGATGATTTTTATGGCATTTTTTTTGCAGTATTGCAACTTTATATTAATGAACTGAAACAACCATGATTCAGTGCAGAAGCTTTTGAAAAAGATGTGGTGTTACGTTGTTAGTGGTCAGCGTGTCTGCAGCTGTCAGGAGAATCTCAGGATTTGGAGGAGCTTTTTACTTTATGCCACCTGACGCTACCCAAACCTCAACCGGTGGCAAAACTGGAAAAAACAACAAAGTCACACAATATTTATTTATTTTTTTACCCAAGACCATTGATGTTTGCGGCTCAACGTCACGTTTTCATATGTCTTATTTGTCCAGATCTCGTTGCCGTTACAGTTGCAATAGCGAATCTGCAAAACAAGCTAGCTTTTAAAGACAAAACCAGTCACAAAACTCCCACCCCTCCCACTGACTATCATCCCTAAGTCCATGTCCACCTGATACCAAAACCCTCATTGCCACAATAAACAACAATCGCCATTTTCTAGGTCCAAACTTCTGCTACTCTTTTATTCTTTTTGGGGCTGGTCATTTGCCCTCATACGCTCAAAATAAAAGTAACTGGAGTTGCACATGACCGAAAAGTTTCCTCCATCTATTAATGCAGAATCATCGCTCAATGACACTAATGTGATTTAGGGAATAATGGGATTTGAATACTGCAATAATACGTTTGTTGAGTTTTTTTGATTAATGTATAACGGGTTTAATTTCCTTTCCAACATCCTCTGTTAAATGAAATAGAATAGCATTCCATCAAAATCAATGTAGGGATTTAATCAGTGTAGGAATCAGAGTAATTTGTTGTACTGGTGCTTTGCAGTAATAAACCACATATATGGAGCCGTTAGGCCCAGTCTATATATTGATCAATGGAAAAGCTTTCAGACTTCCTTTAATGCATTTTTGTTTAATGTTTGAAACATTTTATTCCTTTAGTAGATTTGCACATTTTGGTTGTATTGAAATAGTTCTATTTTTCAATTGAGTTCATCTGGTACTTTTTAAAGAAAATTTTTTACTGAGCTCAGTTTTAGTGGATTTTTTTTGCTCCACTTTAGATCGGCTGTGCCTTTGTAAATGTGCGGTCATTTTTCCTTGTTGCCAGATCTTCAGGAGGTGTTGGCTGGTGTTCAAGAAGGCCTCCAGCAAAGGACCTCGACGGCTAGAAAAGTACCCCGATGAGAAGGCAGCCTACTTCAGGAGCTTCCACAAGGTAAACTCCCTCTACATTTATTAAATTGTCCGTGATTCAATTATTTTAGGCAAAAAAATAAAACCTGCTGCCAGCAAGAAGAAATGAGAAACTCTTCTAAAAGTGCATCTGAAAAACAGAATATAACAGTGTTTTTAAAAAAAAGATAAGAAAACAACAACAACGCAGAATGACAGAAATAGAAGAGTTTACAAGAAGTATAGGGAGCCTAAGTGTGCTCCCTTTTCAGTCGGCTCATGGGTCCCCTGACCAAAATTTTAATTATTTCAAGTGAACGAGGCTATAATAGTTATTTTCTGGTCCGCTTTGCCTTATGTCCTGAATCACACATATACTCTACTGGGGACGTCCCATTCCGATATCAGTGAGTTATGAGGTAAGGACGATGTTTAGCAATGTCCCGTTTAAAGATGGACACCACATCTAATCAGCATTAGCAAACATTCAGACATTTTTATGGGTAAGGAGGTAAAATGTCACTTGGTAAAATCTTAAACAACACATTTGCAAAACTGTGACAATGAGCACATGTTTGTTCCGAGTTTTGACCAAAACAGTTCTAATCTAATTATTTCTCAACTGAAGATGTCCTTATAATTAAACCTCTGACATGAAATGTTGCAGGTGAAACGCATTCCTTCAAGTAATACAAGACCTTTAATTTGAAACAGGATTTTCATGTTTTTAATTAATTTATTCAGGATGTAGTCAACTGTTCCATCCAATGAATAAATGAAACCACAGAGCAGTTTTAAACACAAGACAAGCATCTCTGTATTAAAAGTTCTTCCCACTGGCCTCGGATGATGGAGTTAAAAATCTATTAAGGAACATTTTACAACTTTACCTTGTCCCTTGGGCCCTTTCTCTTTCATTTGAAAGTAATAATCCTCTGTATATTATCTCGCTGCCCACCTCCTGAGCCCTTTGAAATGCTCCAATTATGATTCATTATCCCCGTAAGTGGAAATGATGTTAAAGGAGTAGCACCATGAACACTGTTTTATCGTAATGAGAGGAGAGAACAGCAGATAATGGAGGACAAAAAACATATATATTTCATAGATGGCAATAGTCTGAAAGACAATTTAGTTATCTTGACTACCTGGTGTTATGAGGCGCAAGTACGAGCTAGACTGAGGTTTCATCCACTTAGTTAGCACCTCCTGCTGCTGTGGTATCAGTCATGTGTTGTGAATTTGGTATCTCTGTGCCCACTACATCATGCTGTCACAAGGAGAAACCGGTGTGGCTGTAAGCCCCCTCCCAGAGGGATTGCATACACCCAGCACCCGAGTGAGCGATGGGTGCGCGCATGCACCAGTGCACCTGCTAATGCGTTGCCACCAAGATCAAGAAAGGTCCTGTCGGAGGGCTTCATCAGACGCTGCGGTGCTTTGGGGAGGGAAACAGTCTGCACTGGTAGCTGATTTACACAATCAACACAAAAAGGATTAGACTTTTTTCTCACTTTTTTATTCCGCCTGTTCGTCACCCACTTTTTCTCTTGTCTCCTTTTGCACAGTCTTCTGTCTGAGGAGTACTAGTCCACACAGTAAAACAGGCCCTGCATAATGTTTAGACATTTTTTTTAGCTCTCTGGGGAGGTTTTTTTTTGCGTGTGTGTGAGTGAGTGTGCTGCATTTTGTTGTTCTCTGGGAAGATGGTGCTGTCTTTGAACGCTTTGTTCAAATTTGAGGAAATAACAAGGCGAGAAAGTAGGTTAGATCGTCCCGAGACTCGTTTTGTCTGGTTTACGACCTAGGTCTAAAGTAAAACTGTCATTGAGCTATTACCTGGTGCAAAGTTACTGAGATGTTAATGATCCTGCATAGCTGAAAAATGTGAAGTGACTCCAGTATCTTTACTGACTGGAGATAAACCTGTTGTCAAATAAGCAGATTAAGTAACACAAACATAGGACTTAATCACAACAATTTACACTTAGTTACTATTTTACTCTGATTTGAGGTAGGGCTGGACAATAATTCAATAACGATATTTATCGTTATTGACATGTGAGGACATTGAGAGGAGCCAGTTGAGGTGGCTTGGGTATCTCGTCAGGATGCCTCCTGGACGCCTCCCTGGTGAGGTTTTCAGGGCACATCCAACCAGGAGGAGGCCTAAAGGTAGACCCAGGACACGTTGGAGAGACTATGTCTCTCACCTGGCCAGGAAACGCCCTGGGAGACCCCTGGAAGAGCTGGCCCAATTGGCTGGGGAGAAGGAAGTCTGGGCCTCTCAACTTAAGCTACTGCCCCCACGACCCGACTCCGGAAATGCGGAAGAAAATGGATGGATGGATGGATGGATGGATGGATGGATAGACATGTGGTGCAATAGGAAAAAAAAATGGATCAATAAAACTTTAATAAAAGGTTTCCCTTTTCCATTATAGCCTATCCGATAGCTTCATACTAGAGTCATTACTTATACCTAAGCAATCAAAAACACAGACCCAGGCACGCTCCGCCACCAAGCCTCCTCTCAAACCTAAACAGACAGCAGTGTTACTTAAACCAGATGTTGCAGCAAGAAGAGGTGGAAGAAATGGTCCCAAAAAAAGGTTGCAGTACTTCACCGGTGTGCTAATATTTTAAATCTTATAAGTCTGACATAAAACAAACAACGGTGGTCTGCAAAATTAAAAAGGCCAGGGCTTGCACTTTAAGTCTATTGTCTACATTTTTAACATAGTTTTCAATAATTATTGATATCGATAAATATGATTTTGTTTTTTATCAATAAACTTTTTTCCATATCGCCCAGCCCTAATTTGAGGTTACGTGTGGTTATGTTTAGGAAAGCTGTTCTACTTGTTTAGGTTCAACTCAGCCTTCTGTCCTCACTGCGAGACAATACCATGTTCACGTAACTGTTGCCACATATGTGCATAAAGTCATGGTAATAACAATATGTGGAATTATGCAGCTGTAGAGTGGTGATGGTATAACTCACGCATTAAAAACAGACACGATGGAACCTTAACCAAGCATTTGCATAGCTAAATCCGAATAAAAATGACGTTGCTTTCACACCCAACCGTGTTTGTTTGCTTAAATCAAACATGGAACCATTTCCCGGCCTCGGTGTGGCTCCTCTGCACACATTCCATCTAAAAGGAAAAGGGTTTATTAAAAAATCCTGAATAAATCACCAGTATAATACTTAATTTATGCATCCAACTGCATTAATATGTAAAATATGGGTGGTCCAACGTAATTCTGACAATCATTTTATAAAGAAAAACAACCCACCAGTTTTATGTGAATATATGTATGTGATTAATTAGACATTTTAAGTTGAATTAAAACATTTTTCCAGTTTTGCACATTTCTAAAAATTTATTTTCAAGTGAGTGTAAATTATTTCATATTCACATATTCTGTATTAACACTTGCATTGGATTTTGTGTCTGTATGAAAATGTATCTTAATCTTTTCCATCTATATTTGTATTTTAGTGCATTTTTACGCATTTTATTTGTATTGCAAACCCATGTGGCTGTTTTAAAGCATGAAAAATGCTAAATAAATGATGTTCGACGTGACTTCTTGTCTTAAGCGTGAAAAAAAAGGCTTGAAATGATCAATTTTCATTTGTCTGACTGTGACAAATGCTAAGAGAGAGTTAATTTACGAAGAAAGTAACATTTAATTTAGTTACTGGTAAGTAAAACAAACACATTTCCAGGCTGAACCAACAAGGGGCCGGTGGAGTACCTGGCTACACATGAACTCTGCAGAGGGTATCCAACAACAGAAGAAAATTCATTGCATGAGCCGCTATCTCACAGAGAAATCTGAAGCCTATTTATGGTGTGTGTGTGTGTGTGTGTGTGTGTGTGTGTGTGTGTGTGTGTGTGTGTGTGTTATAAGACCTGGTATTTTAACCTTTAACAGTCAAGCTTTACAATACGGGCAGCCAGCCCGGCTAATTCATTTGTAACAGTCTGGCAGCGAGCCAATAGTTAGCACACAATGGACTACATTAATGTAATGGGCCTTATCTGCTGGAGAGAGCGGACAGGGAGAAGACTGTTGAACAGAATGGCCTGTGAATGTCGGTGATATTCAATAAAAAGCAATCTTCTCTGTATTTTCCTTCAGCGTAAGCCACTTGGTGAAGTGATTTAGATGCTTATGATTGCTTTTCTCTGTAATAACCGGAATAGCCACTTCAAGAAGACCTACAACAGTTTACACAGTGTGTAAATTTACTCACGAGGGGGGTGTTGTGACATGAACAACACACCTGTTACAAGCTGGAAGGAACCAATCAGAGCTTGATTTTTGCTGCTTTGATTTGTCTTCTCTAGATCACCGAGCTCACCAACATCAAGAACATTACCCGGATGCCACGGGAGACAAAGAAGCACGCTGTCGCCATCGTCTTCTGCGACGACACATCCAAGACATTTGCCTGCGAATCAGGTTAGGGCCTCCTTTTCCCTCCACGCACCACTTTAAACTGCCTCTTTTAGCTAAGATAGGAAGGGAGTTGGTTGAATTTTCTTTTAGAGGCTTGAATATACTGTAGGATGTGGTTTATGAACATTTTGGTGAAGGAATAATGAAAGGTGGGGGGCTAGAAAAGAAAAAATAGAAAGCGGAGGAGAGCTGGAGCTTAGCCATGTAATGCTCATTTGCTTCGATATTAAGAGGTAGGAGAGTGTGTTCTAAAATATTGATTTTCATTGTGCAGGAATGAAAACCAATATTGGGTATAATTTGTGAGTTTTTTCTAACCAGTTATGCACACTAGCAATAGATTGCTTCTAATACGTGAGTGGAAAGTCAAAGAGGTTCAACATGGTGAACACCTACACATGGAAAGGGCTTCAACTGAGCTCAGTGTGACCAAATTTTCTATTTTCAACCGACAAATAAAAACAAGAATCATTACCCTTTGAAGGTGTCCAAATGCATGGGTGCACGTTTTGAGAATTACTGAAGAGCACCACCCATTTGTTCCCTTCCTCCCTGCCTTTTCTCTCCCAGTCCCCTTACTTACACCAGGATTTCATCATCCTGTGACCACTTACCACCCATAGAACCTGACAACCTGAATCCCTCTCCAGAAATATGAATTACAACCTTAAAATGACCCGATGTTGCACACGTGAGCCTTTGCTTTACGTTTATATTTTGTGTATGACGTCAATTAAATGTTTAAATTACCAGTTAATCATCCTGCCCTTTGATCCGGAGGATCATTTATCTCAAATACAATCTTCTCTCGGATGGCATTTCAATGACAAACAGTTAGAATTTTATGGGAATTGTTTGGTTTTGAAGTAGAATGAGTTTCAGCATTTCTTTTATTTTCAACATGTTTATTGAGCCCATTACCTAAAGCTGCTAAAGAAAGTCTGCAGAACAAACTCAGAAAACTCTTAAGCCTGGGGCACGCAGAAGACGGATGCGCTGTGCCACAGAAGTGCCGCAGTTTTGGGAAGTCAAGTGGTCGCACAGGACTCGTTACGCTGCTGAACACTTCTTGGAAAATCACGCGATAGTCACAACATCACGCGGGACTTGAGGAAATGGAAAGCGACTCTTTTGTTTATACGTGATCGGACTTGCCGTTGTGTTTTGTGAGACTCTAATTCATTAAAAATGGGTAAGTTTGCTTTTTATTATAATATTTTAATATCAAAAGTACTTTAAAGTTATCAAAACTGTAATCAAGTAGCATTTATAAGCTCCTCGTCCATGTTTTGGCGGTTGGGTTTGTGCCGTAGAGCCGTTCCGCATCGTAACGTCTCCACAATGTTGTAAACTTGAAATAGAACTGGCGCCTATCATCAGCGCCTCAGTGCGGACCGGTGTTCTGAGAAAACGTCCTACCCATAGGATAATTTTACGGTGTTTTACATGACACAAACCCTAACCATAACTCTTAACCCTAACCAAAAAAAATTAAGTATCAACGTCAATAAAAAGTACTAATACTTACTAATCTATTTTCCTGCAAATATGACAGCGGAGTAGCATTCCCCTTTTGTGTTGTGCGCATGCGCGCACATGCTCAGTAACAACGGGTAGGACGATTTACGGGGTAGGAAAAATTCCCAGAACACCGGCGCTTCTGGGACGTGGTGCTGCGCTCCCCGTGTAGCCACACTCGGTAACTATAATGGCTTCTTTTTAAAATGACGGCGCAGGCGTGATGTGGCGCAGCGCTTCTGTTGTCTGTGAGCCCCAGGCTTTACCCCTCCCGTCGGCTACCATACCTAGGCCACATCGGTCTGAACCTGTATGGTCACAGTAAACAAAAGAGCACTAAACACCTGCCACAGTCTTCTATGTCCAAATGTCTTTTGTTTTCCGCGACTTCAAATGTTGTTTTTTTGGGGGGACTCTGGTATTTTGTTCTTAAGTGGAAATGGTAGCAGAGCTATTAAAACTTTTATTTCAGAGAGAAATGTCGGGTTTATGAAAAGTTTGTTCATTTTTATGCATCAATACTTGGTTGAACCTCCATATTTTTTAATATTTAACCTTTTTGTATTATTTTAATGTTTTGGAAATTTGATGCAGAATTTTGGATTTTCTTATGTAAATTATAATCACATAAATGACAAGAAATGAAGGCTTGAATTTTTTAACTCTGTTTAGAAGGGTTGCCAGATATTGGCTGTTTAACTGATATCCAATATACCGATATTGTCTGACTGTTCATTTTTGATACAGATATATGCTGAGTCACCCTCTCATAAACGGAGAAAACCTAAAATGTTTTAGGTTGCTAACATCCCATATCTCTTATCTCCTAAACTGCAGTTGAGGACATAAAGCATTGAAACAGATCTTCGTATAAGAAAAATAAGCTTTGGCTGAAGATTCTTGTCTTAGTCGTTTGTTAGCTGTGCAGCCACATGTAGCTACGTGCAATTTAAACATATATAAAATAATGTCCACATGACTTTATAGGGACTAGAAATGTTTCAAAACAGCAGCAACATTTTTTGATCTTGCCCACAATCAAACTAGCCGTTAGCCCATCAGTGCGGTCACGTTCAAACACTGTTTCTCCAAACTGAGGCCAATCAAATAGCTATCCACAACATTTATGTTTGAATACCATTTATGCAGAGGTCACTTTATAGGTCACTTAAAGTGACCTCTAAAAGGTCTAAATCAAGCCAGCTGGTCCTCCACCAAACTACAAGATCAGTGGCAGTTTGGATTTAAAAAGGAAAAATCAACTTTGCAGCCATCTGAGCATTTGTTCTCTTATTTGAAGACCTATTCATAGTGCCGCCTGTTTTCTCATATCAAAGGACTTTTATCACTTAATAAGACCTTTTGATGTTTTATTTTTAAACCGCTAACTTTTTAAAGCCTCCACCCCGACGCTGCTCCGTGTGCTGTCAGTGAAGCCGAATAAAACAGGAAAAAGTATAATCGCACTTTTTTTTTGACAGCTGTGGGTGCAACTGTCAAATATGCACATAAAGAAAGATGAGAGTGTGACCTCAAGTTAAGATTATTGTTGAGAACGTCAACTTCTTCTATTCCGTGGAGGATTTGGGGCCTGACATGTAGGAATAGCAGTGGATACATTTTGTATTTGTCGGCCTAATGAGTCCCAGTGCTGACGCGGTAAAGACACACAGCACACCAACTCTTGCTTTATCTTTGTGTTTTTATATGTGTGTGTGTGCTGTCTCACACACCAACACACACACACATATACACCACTCTGCCATGTCTCTTATTGCGCGCCTCGTAGAGCAGCCTGGGTGCTGATGAAGTGTTTGTTTAGCTGATTTCCCACTAAGTGGCCTTAAAAAGTGCAGGAGTTCAAAACCGCCTAAAAGGCCTCAGCAAGGGGAAGAAGTGGAGGCGTTGCTGGGGGAAAAGGCTGAGTTGTTCACCTGCTGCACCTTTGTGTACATTTTAATGTACTCATTTCTTTCTGTTATTTGATATTAAAAATTCTGTCGCACACATTCCAAATGCACGTGGTGAGTTTCAGAAACACCCGTGTTCACGAAACGTTCTTCAGCACGAGTGGCCGTGGCTTCAAGAAATCAACTGGAGGCTTTATAAAGATTGAAACCGTGGCGTTCGGTTCTTTTCACACTTCGCTGAATTTCTCCAAAAGCCCACATTAGACAAACTGATTTTTTTATTTTTCACAGGAAGTGAAACGTGTTACTGAGAAAGAGCAAGGTGCTAAACAGATTCCCAGACTTGATTCATTTATTGACTTGTTTTCACTGTTTTTCCAAAATGTCCCTTCACTTGGTTGTGTAACGCTTTTTAATGCTAAAGAGAATTTAACACATCAGGATCAAACACGGGCTCATGAGAAGATTTCATGTTGTTTGTTGACGTTGAGTCAATATGAACAAAACACATTAGATAAAGTGAAACAATAGTGGAGCCAACAGCCTTCATGTTATTGACATCATGATTATAATAATAAATAAATGTGTTTTATTAGCCGCACTGTCAGTTGTTAATCGTTTTACTAACATGTGTTAAATCCCTCCTTTTGTTAGGAAACTTAAGGAAAACTAAATTAATGGTGAAATATAATAAACTGAGCAGGAAAAAATCATGCTGTGTTGTCAGTGTGCTTAATAAATACAATTTTAATGGTACTTAAATAACAAAATTGTTTTACTAAAGGTTGGAAAATTAACTTTTAAAAATCAAAGCTGCAATTCCACTGTAGGAGTTGTGGAAATGTTCTGGGAGAGGGGAAGGTGACAGGGAAAATATGATGGCTCGGTCCTCCATCGTTGTGCTTCCGTAAAAAATCGTCCCTTTCAAGACTTTGCTAGGATGTCAGCGTACCACGACCATTTCAGCAGTGAGTGATGTCACTGATCAGCAGCAGAAGGCGCCCGCAGACATGAATGACTTTAAGAGTTTTATTCTGTGAAAGGGAAAGCGGCATTCGGTGACCGAATTAATTTTTGTCATTCATTAGGGGACAACATTGGTGTAAATTACAGCATTTGGTGGTGGTGGTTTGGGAGGGGGTTCTGCTAGATCTCTGGAGTTTAGAAACATTGATTTTAACGCAGCATTTATTTTATTTCCCTTTCATTCCGCCTCACCAGCAACTCTTCCCGTTTGCGGATGTCATTTCCCACTGAGTTACAACCAATCAGCATGAGTTAACCACAAAATCTGCTAGGAGACTACAGGGCCTTTTCCGAGCATACAAATAAATGCATAGCGCTGGAGGGTGTAACAGCATCAGCGCCATATTTGATGGGTTCCTCGCTCTCCAAGCCCAGCTGGACAAAACGCAGAGTGAGCAACTACACCTACGGTTGAAACAACCAACACACTATTGAAAACAAATCAGTGGGGTTACTATAGACTTTTCCAGCCTACTTGTTGGGATTTTATATTGTATTTTTATTTTGTTTAATTTTATTTATATTTTAAATATTATACCATACCATATGTCTGGTTTTGTTAAAAAAAAAAAAAGAGTGTGTTTAGTTAAGCGAACGCCTTTCTCAGTAGAAATCAATGCACTAGGGGCAAATGGAGACCCATCCAAGATGGCACACGGCACACTGTGAAGGTTCAGTAAAAGTGAAATGATTGGCTGTAGCTTCTGTTTGAGCAAGAAGGAGCACTGATCTTCATATTGACTGCCTTCACTTTAAATGTTGGCAAAGAAAAGAGGATGGGTGCATCGCCGGAGAAACCGCCCGCATCAAGCAAATCAGACTGACCCCCTTAGTTATCTGTTGTCATGCTTAGTGTGTGCAATGTTTAAAATTCCTCTAGGGACTCATGTTTGTGTGTGTGCGAGCGCCCTGAAGACAGAGGTTGTTTAACACAGAGGAGGTGTGTGTGCGCGTGTGTGTGTGTGTGTGTTTGTGTGTGTGTGTGTGTGTGTGTGTGTGTGTGTGTGTGTGTGTGTGTGTGTGTGTGTGTGTGTGTGTGTGTGTGTGTGTGTGCAGAGCTGGATGCAGAGGAGTGGTGCAAGCTGCTGTGTGTGGAGTGCCTGGGCACCTGTCTGAACGACATCAGCCTGGGAGAGCCGGACCTGTTAGCAGCAGGGGTGCAGCAGGAGCAGAACGGTGAGTCCACAGTTAGTCCTTCCTCTAACACAGACAGCCACTTGGGGTCAAACTCTTTCACTCAGCCCGCTGCCGGGCGGTTAGCTGCTGCATTTGGGGGCCTGTTTGTGTCAAAGAGAGTCCAGTTAGGCATCACTAATACGGGCCATCTTTGTCAAAATTTGATTTTAGATCCCATGTTTAGATTTATTAGCAGGCCGTTGTTCAACTCGAAACTTCAGGGGAACGTCTGGAGGAGTGTGTGTAAGTACAGGTCACAGGCGGTGTCGGGGCCTCAGCTCCAGACCTAATGAGAGGTGCTGTGCATCACCGGCTTCTTCCATAATGAAGCTTGTCATGGAGATGGATGAGATTATGGCTCCTGAAGCGGAGTGAAACAAATGTGCCTGGCTAAATATTCCACTCACAGAGCATGGGGAAACAGAGGAGACGACCGTCATCACAGGAAAGCGGATTCTGTGTGAAGATTCGTAAACTCGTTTGAAAAGTAGCGAGTCATTGACTGACATTTGCTTCCTAACTTGACCTCATTTATGCTTCAGATCTGTCCACAAACTGTTGACGGTGATTGGGTGATCCAGTTGAAGCGTGACACAACCTTTCTCCACTCTGTCATGGCTGGAGTCGGGCTGTTTGTTTAAAGGTTTTAGCGGTATGAGATGAAAACACACTGAACCGGCTCCTCTCACCCCACACGCCTGGAACAGCTGTGGCTTGCAGTTTTAAGTATTGCCCTCCTCAAACAGGAGGGGCCGGTAATTAGACCAGAGTTCATTTTCACCGCCCCAGGAACGAGCCACACCATGACATGGCCGTTTTTCTGTCCACTAGAGATACGTGGTTTATTTGCAATCATTAAACCTAATTAGTGAGACCTAATTTAAATTATAGACAACACTCTCTGGCTGTGTGCCAGCCCTAAAGAGATGGTTTAATGCGAACGGGCGACATCGACTTTTTTCTGGTTTTAGAAATATGTATTTTAAATGTCTGATGTGTTTAGGTCTTCATCTGGTTTAAACAAGATGCCTCCTACACTGATTACTTACTAATTATTGTATTGGCTGTTCAAATAATCCCTTTTTCATTTAAATTTTATCTCTGAATTATCACAAAATCATCATAATCAACAACAAATAATATATATTTTGTAATTTTTGCTTTGCAAGCATCACTTTTGAAGGATACTGTTTTAAAAATGGCAGAAGGAGGGTAAAACACACTGACAGTGTGTGTCAAAAAAGTTCCCTCAGTATTCAAGAAACTCCAAGTCCTGCGTGCTCTGTGGTGCAGAGTCTAATGATGTTTGTTCCGTAAGGCTTTATTCCTAAGCTTTGACGCTGCTGATTAAACATTCTATTCACATTAACTTCACATTTGGACCTCCAGGCTCCTGTAGTAGCTCACGTAGCAAATCAAACAAGTAGTTTAATTATTCATTCTTAAACAGCTGTGTATTTTAATATTAGACTATATTGACTCTAGTGATTATATCATTTTATTTACTACTAAACAGCCACCTGCTGTGCCTACAGCCTCTTAAAAGCACAAACTCTGGATTTACAAATCAGTATTCGTGTTTCAGTGTTGACTAAAATAGTCATGATTATGTTTTGCTCTTTAATAGCCCAGAGTGTGTGGGAGTCACACTACTCGTCTCGTCTTCCTCCGCTTATCCGGGTCCGGGTCGTGGGGGCAGCATCCCAACTAGGGAGCTCCAGGCCGTCCTCTCCCCGGCCTTGTCCACCAGCTCCTCCGGCAGGACCCCAAGGCGTTCCCGGACCAGATTGGAGATGTAACATCTCCAACGTGTCCTGGGTCGACCCGGGGGCCTTCTGCCGGCAGGACATGCCCGAAACACCTCCCCGGGGAGGCGTCCAGGAGGCATCCTGACCAGATGCCCAAACCACCTCAACTTCTTTCGGTCATTACCCAAAGCTCATGACCATAGGTGAGGATTGGGACGTAGATCGACCGGTAAATCGAGAGCCTGGCTTTCTGGCTCAGCTCCCTCTTCCCCACGACAGATCGGCTCAGCGTCCGCATCACTGCAGACGCCGAACCAATCCGCCTGTCGATCTCCCGATCCCTCCTACCCTCACTCGTGAACAAGACCCCGAGATACTTAAACTCCTCCACTTGAGGTAGGACCTCTCCCCCGACCCGGAGGTGGCAAGCCACCCTTTTCCGGTCGAGAACCATGGTCTCAGATTTGGAGGTGCTGATCCTCATCCCAGCCGCTTCACATTCGGCCGCGAACCTACCCAGCAAGAGCTGAAGGTCAGAGCTGGATGAAGCTAGGAGGACCACATCATCCGCAAAAAGCAGAGACGAGATTCTCCTGCCACCAAACTCGACACACTCCACACCACAGCTGCGTCTAGAAATTCTGTCCATAAAAGTGATGAACAGAACCGGTGACAAAGGGCAGCCCTGGCGGAGTCCAACCCTCACTGGGAACAGGTCCGACTTACTACCGGCTATGCGGACCAAACTCACGCTCCTCTGGTAAAGGGACTGAATGGCCCTTAACAGAAAGCCACCCACCCCATACTCCTGGAGCGTCCCCCACAGGGTGCCCCTGGGGACACGGTCATAAGCCTTCTCCAAATCCACAAAGCACATGTGGATTGGTTGGGCAAACTCCCATGCCCCCTCCATCACCCTTGCAAGGGTATAGAGCTGGTCCACAGTTCCACGGCCAGGACGAAAACCACATTGCTCCTCCTCTATCTGAGATTCAACTATCGATCGGACCCTCCTCTCCAGTACCTTGGAGTAGACCTTTCCAGGGAGGCTGAGGAGTGTGATCCCCCTATAGTTGGAACACACCCTCAGGTCACCCTTCTTAAAGATGGGGACCACCACCCCGGTCTGCCACTCCCTAGGAACTGCCCCCGATGACCACGCAATGTTGTAGAGACGTGTCAACCATGACAGCCCTACAACATCCATTGCCTTGAGATACCCAGGACGAACCTCATCCCCCCCCGGGGCTCCGCCGCTGTGTAGTTGTTTGACTACCTCAGCAACTTCTGCCCCCGAGATCGGACAGTCCATCCCCAGGCCTCCCAGCTCTGGTTCCTCCTCGGAATGTGCATTGGTGGGATTGAGGAGCTCCTCAAAGTATTCCTTCCACCGTCCGACTATAGCCTCAGTTGACGTCAGCAGCTCCCCATCCCCACTGTAAACAGTGTGAGCGAGTTGCTGCCTTCCTCTCCTGAGGCGCCGGACAGTTTGCCAGAACCTCTTTGGAGCCGATCGATAGTCTTTCTCCATGGCCTCACCAAACTCCTCCCACGCCCGAGATTTTGCCTCGGCAACTGCCACTGCTGCACCCCGCTTGGCTATCCGGTACCTGTCTGCTGCCTCCGGAGACCCACAGACCAGCCACGCCCTGTAGGCCTCCTTCTTCAGCCTGACGGCTCCCCGAACCTCTGGTGTCCACCAGCGGGTACGGGGGTTGCCACCACGACTGGCACCGGCCACCTTACGACCAAAGCTAGCAACAGCCGCCTCGACAATCGCAGAGTGGAACAAGGCCCACTCGGACTCAATGTCCCCCACTGCTCTCGGGACGTGGTCAAAGCTCTGCCGGAGGTGGGAGTTGAAGACCGTCTTGACAGGTTCTTCTGCCAGGCGTTCCCAGCAGACCCTCACTATGCGTTTGGGTCTGCCAGGTGTACGGGGCATGTTCCCTTGCCATCTGATCCAACTCACCACCAGGTGGTGATCAGTTGACAGCTCCGCCCCTCTCTTCACTCGGGTGTCCAAAACATACGGCCGCAGGTCAGATGATACGACTACAAAATCTATCATCGACCTGTGACCTAGGCTGCCCTGGTACCAAGTGTACCGGTGGGCATCCTTATGTTCGAACATGGTGTTCGTTATGGCCAAACTGCGGCTTGCACAGAAGTCCAATAACAAAACACCGCTCGAGTTCAGATTAGGTGGGCCGTTCCTCCCAATCACACCCCTCCAGGTCAAGCTGTCATTGCCCACGTGAGCATTGAAGTCCCCCAGCAGGACAATGGAGTCCCCTGATGGAGCACTATCTAGCACTCGTCCCAGGGACTCCAAAAAGGGTGGGTACTCTGAACTGATATTTGGCCCATAAGCACAAACAACAGTCAGGACCCATTCCCCGACCCGAAGGCGCAAGGAAGCTACCCTCTTGTCCCCCGGGGTAAACCCCAACACACAGGCAGAGAGTCTCGGGGCTAACAAAAAGCCAACCCCAGCCCTCCGCCTCTCACCCGGAGCAACTCCAGCAAAGTAGAGTGTCCAACCCCTCTCCAGGTCTCGGGTTCCAGAGCCAATGCAATGTGTCGAGGTGAGTCCGACTATATCTAGCCGGTACCGCTCAACCTCTGCCACAAGCTCCGGCTCCTTCCCCGCCAGCGAGGTGACGTTCCATGTCCCAAAAACTAGTTTTCTTGTCCGGGGATTGGACCGCCAAGGCTCCCGCCTTGGTCTGCCACCCGATTCGCATTGCACCGGACCCTTCATGTTCCTCCTGCGGGTGGTGGGTCCACAGTTGGACAAGCCCATGTATCCGGTTCGGGCTGGGCACGGCCGGGCCCCATGGGTGAAAGCCCGGCCACCAGGCGCTCGCTCACGGGCCCCAACCCCAGGCCTGGCTCCAGGGTGGGACCCCGGTAACCCTCCGGGCCGGGTACTCCGACTCTTCGTTTTAACCGCCATGAAAGATCCTTCGAGTCACACTACATAAAATTTAATTTTCTGTTTCAAGCAAAAACAGCATAGAACGCGTCAGCGAGTGGGAGCTAACCGTTAGCATTAGCAACACCACATGGCAGAACTCCTTCAGGCTTGTGTTGTTTGTGGAGATAAAACATCAATGTTGCAGAAAAACAGAGTTAGTGGTAGAGGCACGTTGCTGTTAGCCAATCAGAGGCGACATGTTCAAATATGAATATATAATCCTGCCGTTTTCACACCTCTGGCTTACTTCTACTTCCTGAAACAGGAGCGCCAGAGCTTTTTTCCCCCCACAGAGGACGACTCGCAGGGCATGTATTTATACTTGAGAATGCAGCTGATTTATTGAAAAGTGAATGAGAGTTTTAAGTTGAAGGAAGTTGTTGCCGGGAAAACTCTTATCGGTGAGGCGCCTCCTTTCAGGAAGTCTTGTGAATTCTTGCAGAGCGCTTCAACGTGTGCCTCATGCCCACCCCCAACCTGGACATCTACGGGGAGTGCACCATGCAGATCACCCACGAGAACATCTACCTGTGGGACATTCACAACGCTCGCCTCAAACTCGTCATGTGGCCTCTCAGCTCCCTGCGCCGATACGGCCGAGACTCCACCTGGTTCACCTTCGAATCTGGCAGGTGTGTGTGTGTGTGTGTTTGACTACTTGTGTCATCTCAGCTGTCTGTGTGTGTCTGAAATTCTAAAGCTTAGTTGTGGAAACACTGTGATGATGCCCACAAAGAAACTCTGTTTCTAAACCATCCCTGGATATATGCTGCTGAGGCCTTCGGGCCATGGTGTGAGAGCTGCTTCTCTGAATAGGTTCTTTGTGACATTTTTTATGAATATTTCAGCCGTGCATGTTTGTAAAGCAACAATTTGATCACTCTCAAAGTGTGTTTCTGTGTGTGCGTGTGTGTGTGTTCCTGGCACAGGATGTGTGACACAGGAGAGGGTTTGTTTACGTTCCAGACCCGTGAGGGGGAGATGATCTACCAGCGGGTCCACTCGGCCACGCTGGCCATCGCCCAGCAGCATGAGAGGATGATGGAGGAGATTGAGAAGAGCTCCCAGGTACTTCTGTGTGTTTCTGACTTAATGACAGCTCCTAATGTGACTGTGTTTTTGTTCTGTTTCCAACTCGGGCAGTCACACATTTTCAAACGCTGCTGAGAAACACAGAGGAATGCATGAATGAAACACTTCTGTGCATCATTTCAAATCTTTTTATTAAATGGAGAAAAGCCCAAACTAAAGATCGTTCCCGCACACGAGTCTGTAGATTGCCCTTTCAGGTCTCTCTCTCTCTTGTTTTTCTCTTGACATCACCGTGTTGGACCAGAAGCCCTCTGAGACACCCTGCAGTCTTGGCCTCTGCTCCCTCCTTCCCTCACTACAGCCATCACTTCCTTCCTTCCTCTCTTCGATCATCTGTATTCTTATTCACGCGGTCCTGCCCAGCGTTTGATGAGCCTTGACCATATGGTCATGCTCCTGGACCCCACAATTTAAGGAACATGTCCAAAAGCAGCTAACCTTTGATATTTACTCATTACCTTTGCACAAATTTGCAAAGCGGAGTGAATAAATTCATATTTTGGCAATACATTTCCAACATATAAAGCTTCTGTTTGGCTCTTAAAAGAAAATAATGAAATCTAAATGTGTCATCTGGTGGTGAAACATCTCAAATGAAACCTCAAGCAGCCATTCAGCCTGCAGACACGTCACTCAGCTTGAATTTTCTGTTTCTCTTCACACCCTTTGTGTATTGACAGGTGTAGATCACTGTCTCCCCCGTTGCGACTGAGTGACAGCAAAGTGAGATGCATTAAAATTTTCCCCTGTCTGTTTCAGTTCCACCCCAGAGAGACTTTAACCAAGTCCATCTCCCTGCCACGCAGCGCCTACTGGCAACACATCACACGTCAGACCAGTGTGGGGGACCTCTTTGGTTACCAAGGTACACAAAGGAGTTTACTAATTATCACACTCACCGTGCCTTTTATTTTCATCTCAGAAGAAAGGACCAGCAAAGGAGCGTAACATGGCAGGAGGACATTGGCAAACATGGCTAATTGTTAGTAATTTTGCTCCTGCTGATTTGGTGACTGACATGAACATGGTTTAATAATTCTCCTCGAAAGGTCTCATGTGCCACAATATGATTATTGAAGTCACAGAACTTTTTAAAATCACTTACACTATCCTCTCGGTGTCGTATCGCATTAAACCATGACCGCATAGAAACCCATTTCATGCCTTCTTTAGGAAAATGTTTGGTAGACGAGGGAAACTATGTGTGAAGTGGCACCAGTGCTGGAGCATTAACACGGTGCTAAAGCACAGTGGAGGGAGTTTCATCATTTGTAGGATTGAAGGACAAATAAAACATGTCCACCTGCAGCAGATTAACCCTCAGATTAACGCTATACTATGCATATTTGTAAATAATATTCTTGAGCCAGTATGTCAGTGAACCTCAACTGGGCCACATCATGACCCTTTACAGGGTTAATGACATGTCCTCTGTGGCCAGAATATTGCACTTGCAACTTCTTCTTGTCGATCCAATTCCTGATGAACTTAGTAAAGTGGAGCTGACTTGCGAGTGCTGCGATCTGCTTCCAGCACTTTTCCTGCATGTTTTAGATCGCAAACACAACTAATTTGTTTGATTTAGTGGTGAATCACTCCTATAAACACTAATGAAGGCTGGGGAGACATTTCAGTCAATAAAGGTGTTAAAAAAGACTAACGCACAGCAAGGAGATAGGTTTCACTTTTGCTTTCACTAAGAGAACACAAGGGTAGGGGTGGGAATTGAAAAGTCTTCATCAATATCAATGGCATTGTCGATTCTGTCTATCGATCCAATTCCTTATCAAATACCTTATAAATTCCAGAGTAGTTAAACAGGTGGCACAAAACTAGCTGTGCATGGCTCCTGCATTATAACTGTCAGTTTCTTTATGATAAATAATTAGTTGTACCTGTATAGGCTGGAAAGATCTTTCCAAATGTTCTCCTTTCTGCTCCCTGTGAAGGCAGAGTCCTCTTGTTTGGTGCAGTGTTGCTGTAGCTTTAGTAGAGTGGAAAAAATCTCACCACAGGTCAGACCTTTGTCGCTGGAGTCTGCTAGTGTGTAGGTGTGTATATGAGGTAAATGACGCTAACATGATAGGCAGTGTTAGTTGATTAGTTGCATGCAATATTAATAGGAGAGGATGTCGAATGTCACCGCTGCTGCGTTGAAATTCACTCGTCAATAATAACTAAGTTATAGCGTATTTTGTGCCCAAAGCTTTTGCATATCATAATGCTTCCTCCCTTGATGAAATATCTACTTTGCAATTATTGCAAGTTACCCTGTTGTCATGCACCAAACTTTGAAGCATTTGTGCCACCTAGACGCCATGTTTCCTGCTCCCGTGAAGCTACGCAACGTGCACGGCGACGTCATTCACGCCGACTGGAATTGACAAGGGAAATCTTTGCAAAAGTGGCAAACGATTCCTAGGAATTGAAACAATGGGAACTGGATCTCAACAAGAACCGGTTTTTGATTTCCAACCCTTCACAAGGGGATGCTGCTAAAACTACACAGTAGCCCTTTAAACAGGAAATATAATAATGAGTTAAATCAATATAGACAACATGCTTTCCTTTAGCAAAACGTAGTATACTTGAAGTTTGTATTATCAAGTATTAGGGATGTGTATTGGTGAAATTATGGTGATATGATATGTATAACAATACAGGGGAGACGTTACATGTATCACGATATATTGCGATACATTCAGTCAAAACAATATCGATTATCAATTTTTTTAGACTGAATTTATTGTAGGACAATTCAAGTACACAGTTTTTGAATATCAATATAACATCGCTTGAAAAAAATCACAATATATTGTTGTATCGATATTTTCTTACATCCCTATCAAGAATGCTTAAGTATAACTACAGAAAGTTTGTACTAAATTGGAACATTTTTAAGTTTATTGAAGTAAACATGTAAAAGGTCAGTTTAAGTTAATGAAAGTACACATTCAGATAGCAAGTACACTCATCTACAGACTACTGTGTGGTAAATGGTCTGTATTCGTATAGCGCCTTCTTAGGTTTCTACAACCCCCCAAGGCGCTTCACAACACAATCAGTCATTCACACATTCACATGCTGGTGGGAATGATCTACGATGTAGCTACAGCTGCCCTGGGACGCACCGACAGAAGTAAGATTGCCGAAGGCATGCGCCACCGGTCCCTCTGACCACCACCAGCAGGCAAGGTGGGTTAAGTGTCTTGCCCAGGGACACAACATTAAACCCACAACCTTCCGATTACTGGACAACCCGCTCTACCTCCTGAGCTACTGCTGGCCCAAGGATATTACCTGGATCACGATAAACTAGGTATTATTACTTTGGAGCAGAAAGAAGTGAAAAGTATACCAACAAGTATAAGCTTCAGTATTCAAGTCTCATTATTAATGTACTCAGTCATAAACGTGTCTTTGTGTTTTCAATATAATCCAAGTGTACAGCCTATAAAAACCCCAGATTCACAATGCCAGACAACTAGAATATTGTGAAAAGGTTCAACATTCTAGACTCAAAGTCTCACACTCTAATCAACTAATTAATCCAAAACACCCTTAAATGGTCTCTCAGTCTAAGCTGCATGATATTCTAATATTTAGAGTTTATCCTGTATGTTCTCTTTGACTAAACAAACAACAAAGACTCTCACTCTAAACTTCATGGTGAATTATTAGGTGGTAGTGGACTAGTGTGTTTACATGTTTGCAATTAAGCTGCTATAGGAAGTCTATAACCGGTGAGTCAAGCACCATGTGTCCTTGGTGTGTACCAAAACCTAAAAAGACTGAAAGCGAGAGTGTTTTGGTGTCTAGATGAAAACCAGAGGTAGAAAGTTGATTAGAGAGCTGATGTGATTATCCTGTCCATGGTATTAGTTGATTAGAAGTCTTATCGGAGGATTATGTGCCTTTGGCTTTCACTGATAGAGCTAAAAGAGAGCCAAGCGAACATGAAAGTCCATCTGATGTCGCAGTTTGTTTGTTTTTTTCGAAAAGTTTGGATGTTTTTTCCTCTCTTTATCATTTAATTACACCCAGCTAAGGTTAAAAGCAACTTGTGAGTTCTCCACTCAAGCATCAACATGTTTTTACCACATATAAATTAAACGATCAAGCCGGGCTCATTCTATATAAGCTCCAGTCTCTGTGAAGTCTCCTTTCAAACTCTTCCTCTGAAACTCCGGTAAAGAGAGGAGCTTCTGTGTCATCCATCACCTTGGCGTCTCCACTGGTCCTCCCACACATTCCCCCCATGTTTCTGCCCGCGTCGCAACAAACTTGCACCTTCTCCTACTCGTACACATTCAGAGCTGCCGTTATTCTCCCTCCTCTCCTATGAATAAATTGAATGCATCAGTGTGTTTGAGGTCTTGTCAGACAAGGAGGACTACAAGGTGATTCCACAGAGCGATGGGAGTTTAAGACTCATTGGGACGTGAGACGTTTGGACTGAGAAAGACAGGATGCATACTTTTTGTTTTTTATCTTCGAGGAAAACCGGCCATGTACAATGATAGCCGTATTTCCTCCTTGACATGAGATCTCTATCTTTCTAGAGGTCACTTGCATCGTTTATAAGTCCATCAACTCTAGATGAACCTATGGCTCCCAACGCTTGAGCTTAGATGGATCCTTTAATCACTGTTATTTTAAGCGGTGTATTTGGAAAACAGTCATGAAGTAAAATGATAATACGTGATAATTAAGTAAAATAAGGTAGGCTATCTAAAAACAACAACAAAGGGTTAGGGATTAGCCTTCTGATAGAGGCCTACTCTAGTTTCATATTTATTAGACGGACGGATGGATGGATGAGTAGATGGATGGATAGATGAATAAATGAATGATGGATGGATGAGTAGATGGATGGATGGACAGGCAGATGGATGGATAAATGAATGATGGATGGATGAGTAGATTGATGGACAGGTAGATGGGTGATGAATAATGGATGGATGGATGAGTAGATGGATGGCTGAATGGATGGGTGGACAGGCAGACGGATGAATGGATGATTAAATGAATAATGGATGGAATATAGAAGGGTAGATGGACAAATGGAGATGGATGGATAAACGGGTAAATGGATGAATGGAAGGATGAATGGGTGGGTAGATGGATGATTGATGGATGGAAAGGTAGATGGATACAGGGTTTCTGCAGAAATCAGCCAAACAAATGTAATGCATTTTAATGCCATTTTTTACCGTTTTAATGTCATTAACAAACACACGTGAGAATCCACGGATATATATGTACATAAAATATGCAGATAAAAAGTGCAGCGTGCAGTCCACAGCTTCCAACATGAATTAATTGGCAGCCTCCATGCAGTTCAGCATGCTCTTGCTGGAAATCGTTTAAAAACTTCCAAGTTCACATTTTGCCCATCCATACTGATGGAAAGGAGATTCTTCATGTCTAGCAGTTGCACACAATCCTATGATTACAAAAAATTTAATTATTTGACATGAGAAAGAAAACCTGAAAACATTACACCAACATGTTTGATTTGAAATGTGCTTATAGTAATTTCAAAATTAGCTTATTAAAACTATCTAAAAGCAAAAAGCCTCAACAAAATGAATACGTCTTGTCTCTTTAATTCATGTGAATGCCACTTCATTAACAAAAAGTACAAATATACTCACTTTGAAATGGTGCAGCAGATCTTCAACCTTTGAATGGCCCATAAACTGTGATCCAAGATAACGTGACTGGACAGCACCAGCCTCCCAAAATCGAATATGGACGTCTAGTTGTTTATTTATTGTGGACGATTGAAGCTTTCATCAATCAGCACAAATGGTCCAGCGTAGTTAGCTGCAGAAACCAGTTCTTTTTTTAAATGTGGGGCGAGTCCAAACTTTAAAACGTAGCTTGTCTTGTTTTTTCCACAGGTGAAAGATTTAGCTATTTCAGAATCCGAAAACATTTCCCGGAACAACTCCGAAACACCTTCATTGGATGCGTAGGAGTGGTGCTGCACGGCAGTGTTTAGACGCCAGAGCACCTCTGCCTGCAGCGCCGCAGGCGGCCCAAATGATTTTTGAAGCGTGCTTGATGTTCCGGCGGCAGGGTTCACAGCTGCAGTTGTGCTGCTTGTTGTGGTCGTGGTAGTTGTAGAAGACGTCGCATTGCTAGTTACAGAAAAGTAACTAGTCACAGTTAGCTGCCCCATTGTACCAACAAAATCCTTCTCCATCTTGACCATTAACGGGCTGCAGCCATACCCTGAATTCATCGTTTTCCCACCACTTTTGCTGGAATTTGCATTTTCCAAACCTTTACTCCTCACGATCCAGCGCGCCAGCTTCTTGTCGAACATCCGGTTTTACGACAATTCCACAAGAAACCGTTCGGAACAGAAGCAATAACAAACAACAACAAACATTACTTAATGCCCCGTGGAAACCCTGGGATAAGTAGATAGATGTACGGATGGACCTGGATGGATGAACAAATAGAAGATGGATAGACAGATGGAGTAAGGATTTATGAAGTAAAGATAGATGGATGGATAGATGGATGGATGGATTGAGTATAGAGGGGTAGATGGATAGATAAAAGATGTGATATCAGTTGGTTTGTGTTAGCTTTAGCTCGTTGTTAGCGCTAGCTACAGCAGGCTGAGGCAGGGTTTTGTTGGACAGTTGTTCCACTTTCAGCCAATAGAGCTCCGGGAGTTAACTTCACTTCTCCCGGCATGCAACAGTTCAAATCGAAACGGCGCCATTTTGGCATGCAGAAGCCCGCAGCTGGACTATTTGTTATTGTCAGAAAACTCAATCAAACGGCAAATATGGTAGATTCCTGTTGTGCCCCAGGATGCAGAACAGACACGGACGACATAAGGAATGAGCCATCTACAGGATTCCCCAAGATCCGGAGCGCCGCAAACGTTGGATCATTGTAATAAAACGCGCTAGTGACCGGGCTAAAATGAAACTGTGGGATCCCGAGAGTAAAGTTTTTCACTTATGCAGCGACCACTTCATAGCAGGTACTTAAACCAACGTTTCCTCAACTGTGTATGGTATTTTATTTTAAATGCTTTTACTATGATTCTTAGTGGGCTTCCTAAACTTATTTTGGCGTGGCGTTTTCTGTCTTATAACTCATAGCAACAAGTAAACATCACGTAAAACGTTGCCTCGTGAGTTCTGCGTGCTGCCGTTTACGTGTTTTATGATCACAGCAATGAACCGGCTAAGCTGTATTTAATTTTTAAGCAATGGTTGATCAATTGTCAGATCACACATAAAAAGCACTTTGGATTGCTATTATCTGTCTCACCGAGACTACTTACGTGTAAATCTGTTATTTGTCCGTCCATCCATCCATTTTCATCCGCGTATCCGGAATCGGGTTGCGGGGGCAGTAGCGTGACTTCCCTCTCCCCAGCCGCCGGAGCCAGCTCCTCCGGGTAAACCCCAAGGGGTTCCCCGGTCAGGTCCGGTGTTGTGCCGGTAAGAAGCCCGCTCTGACAGCTTCTGGCGTCGGAGAGGGCAGTAGAGTCGAGAGTCCCAGACCTTCTCCCCAGCTCCTCCGGCCGGGGGAATCCCAAGGGGTTCCCCTGGCCAGGTCCGGTGTTGTGCCGGTAAGAAGTCCCCTCCGACAGCTTCTGGCGTTTTTAAAAAGTATCCCAGGGGCACGGTAAGGGTCGGAGATGTTTAGTCTATTTAATTTCTGACTATATAAAACGATTTCTTCTGTTTTAAAGTGTGAAGTAAACTCTGACGAAGTAAAATCCAAGCGGATCCCGTTCATGTTCATGGTTACATCCGTGTTTGTTTACCTTTTTTGCATGCCAAAATGGCGTCCACTAACTGAGAGTCACGTGGGGTCTGGAGCTCTATAGGAGGAAGACGCATGAAGCTGATTTAGAGTTGCTGTGCAGAATTATACAAGAGGCAGGTTTAATGGTAGAAAGTACAAAATTTACTATTTTGTATTTTATTTGTTTGCAAAACAATTTTACATATTTTTCGGATGTTCTTTTTGCCATGGAGGACAAAAAAAGGACAATTAAATAAATAAAATGGCAACACAACTACACAAGGATCCTTCTGGATATTACTTTGGTCGATTTTCTCCTAGAACTCCTGGTTCCTCTTCCAGATAAAAAAAAATCCTGTGGATCCGGATAGCTGGCGACCCTCGGTTTGTATATAAATATGTAACGTGTCTCTGGTGGACTGGCGGCCTGTCCAGGCTGTAACCCTGCCTGGCACCCATTTACCTGAACATGATGGAGTCGGTTTAAAAGGGTAAATGGATCCTGCAGCTCATTGAAAGGTTGTCTTGTCTCAAATTCATATTATTGGTAACACAACCAGGTGAGTTAAGCTTTGTTTTCCCTTGGCAGAAAATGAAAGAAAAGGCAGGAATAATAGAAATGATCTGGATGGCTTCAAAACCTGTGTATTCATTTGCAGACAAGCCATTTATTCATGTTGTGTGCTCTGATGCATCCCCATGCTATAAAGGTGCTGGCTTTCTGAACTGATGCAGTAGAACACCAGATGGTCCCTGTGCTCCTCGATGGCCCAGAGGATGCAGCATTTCCATAACGAGGTCTATTTTTTAATTGCTCAGACCACAGGACAGGACTCCAATCTGCTGCTGATTTTCTCTTAACGACCTCAGACCCAGATAAGCTCTGCTGTTTCTGGGTTTTACTCCGATATCATCCGTGCAGCGATAACTATCATTTCTTCCTGACATAGGAAGTGTTTAAATATTTAGACACTATCCCAGGTTTAGGTCCAGGTTTGTCATACAGGCGCTATTAGCCTCTGGAATAATTATTTGGGTTTGAATCAAGCTTAAAAATCGGGTTTTTAGACCGTATCGGTTGGGTGGGTGAGCTCCCCGAGTGTTTCGCTGCACACGTGATGAATATCCAATCAGCACAGTCAATTTGCTGAGTCATGCTTGGGTTGCTTTCAAATACCCCGTGGGTCCGGGGGAATAATTAAGGAACACGGCTCCGTTTCCCCCATCGGGCTTTTATTCACCTGTTTGTTTATTCTCTCGCTCGAGTTAACAGAGGACCGAAACACTGGAAATCTGATCCATTTCATTCCACATCTGTTTTTTTTATGTCTCCTGAAAACTTTTGTTTACCGCAGCTAAAAACAATAATGAATATGTTTTACGTGGAAGAAAAAGTGGGAGGTAAAAAGTTTGAGCCTTCAGGGGGATGATTTTAATCCCCAGAAAGTGCCGTAAAGACAAAGCGTCTCCCACCTCTCCTCCAATTTTTAATGTTATTCATTCTTTTGCATTTCAGTGAAAGTGCTGGCTCCTCCGAGTTTGCTGATGCATAGAAATAAGTGCACTTTAAAGTTGCAAAAAAGCCCCCCCACCCCGTCAGAAACGCTTCGATTACATCCTCCTAACTCAGAGAGAGAGGAAAGGACCTGCATACCTCCACTTTTTTGTATTTATCCGTTTTCAGGGCAATCTCTCTTCCTCCTGTTTTATTGTGCTCCACGCTTTACTGCTGTAGCATTAGCAATTCTAATGAAATGGAGCTTGTACTTATTTTGATCCACCGGGAGTGATACTAAAGGGATGCTACCCGGCGGTAGAAGGCATCAAAGATGCAGGATAGAGTAAAGACGCAAAAACATCTCAGCTGCTTTTCTTTTTCTGTTGAAGTTTTTTAACTCAGTCTTCACGTCACGTTACCCGAGCCATGTTTTTAGTCGTTTCCTCACCATCGGCACATCGCCGCTCCCGTCTCATAATCTGGGCAGCATCCCTGCTTCTCCGGTCACAGCTGCTGCTAAACTGCCATCTGGGTTGTTACACTTGGAGAAAAGGAAGGTGCAGACAGGTGTGTGTCAACATCCATGCATGAATAGCTAGTTGTGTGTTTCTCTGTGTCATTGTGTGTGTGCTGTGGCCCAGCAGCTACCACCCCAGGCCAGATAGGATGACATGACCTTCCCCGGTAATGAAAAGGCACTGACAAATCACTGTCTGCATCTCACACACAGAGGGAGCTCAGGAGGAGGGATGCTGACGCCATCACCTCATCTTCTCTCCCTCTTTCCTTCTCTTCTTTTGTTTTTTCCTTTTTTTATATCTTATCTAAGTGTGTCTTATGTCCAGAAAGTATGGCTCTCCTCAGGGGGGCTGGCACCACAGAACCATGTTTATAACTGATGGGATCTGCTGTACCCTCTCTGGGCTCTCAGCCTCCTCTTTTTTTAACCTTAATTGGCTTTGGTTGGGGAGAGGGATTGTCTTGGCAAAGATGTGAAAAAGATATGCCTGGTTGCACACCAGTCCTTTCAGCAATCTATTAGAGAGAGAGAGAGAGAGAGAGAGAGAGAGAGAGAGAGAGAGAGAGAGAGAGCGAGAGAGCGAGAGAGAGAGAGAGAGAGAGAGAGAGAGAATCCTTCCTTTATTTTTAAACCTGCAGCATTTAAAGCTTGGATTTAAAGTCTTGATGTCATCTTTTCTTTATTTCAGGGAGTTCTGGAGAAGAGAGACTCACAGACAGAGGTGTGTATGCATGACTCACCTGTTATGACAGATGCTGTTTTGGTCTCACGCCCACACCTGCGCCTCTGCGCCGCCTCCTCCCACAAACTGTTCCCTAAACTCACAGGAAAACCTTTTCTTGTCCTTCTTTTTTATTTTTAACGTGAGGTTTCTCCCCGCGGCTCCGACTCGCACTCACCCAGTCACTTGACACCGATTGTCAGGCTGGAGTTTTATATTGTACATCACGGTAATGGCATCACGACTCTGTTAGCAGCGTCCATGTTGGTTAGATGTGATCAGTGTTGTGTTTGGTTTTGCACCTCCTGAAATATTGATCTCTGGCCACTTCCTGCTTGTTTGGTGCGCCATCAGCAGCAGTCACAACCCACCTCTGTGTGCACATCTCCAAACAGCGCTCTAATGTTTTATTAATGGCCCCACAGTTGCACGGGAACAACCCGCCGCCTCCAAGTATCCATTACTGCCTCCTTAACCAAAACCAACTGCAGAGCAAATTGGTCCAATCCATTAAAATTAAGGCTGAATGGGAGATGACTGCAAACAGTTGTAGAAATTAAATTAGGCTGCTTATCTGACATGAGAGATCTGTTCTTTTCAGAAATATCACTGGTAGTAACTAAGCAACAGGAAACTTAAGCCTGGCTTAACAAATAGTTTATTTTATTATATTAAAATTGCCAAAAATTTCACTTCACGGTTTTTAAAGTTCGCCCGCTCGTTTCTTCCTCCTCACAGAAACCGGACTGTCGATGACTTTCATCCCCCGAGCGCAGACGTTCCCCAGCTTCCTGTCTGATGAACCTGAGCAGGAGAGCCACCACCAGGAAGAGGCGCCATCGCCCTCTAGTGGCCGTGAATCTAGTTGCAGTCTCAGACCGCTTCAATGACAGAGAATCTGCCTGAGCAACTGTGGACACTTAACTCCTCATGTAGATTTCAAAAACTGTACAGTGAAATGTAAAATAGTGTTTCTTTAGGATAATTATGGAGGATTTAGAGGATGCTTGTTTTTGTGTGATCTGCAACGGAGAAGATTGCACCAAAAACTCTTTAAATGTGACTTGAGTGTTTCATGTTGTCATTTCTCTGTTAATTCCTGCATGAGCTACTTTCCCTCTCTTTTTTACACAAAACACTTTGCAAGAATTTGGAGGCACCAACTCTTCCCAAGTCGGTTTTCTTAAAAAAATAAAAAAATGTTCAGTTATTTTGTTTCAAAGTTGATGAAATTAGGCTCAGTCCAACAATCTGCTGCCTCAGCACCCAGCTCAAAAGAAACTCCACCAGTTTTGACACATAATCCTCCCACACTCACTGCACGCTGCTTTTCTCTCAAGAATGAGAAATCGATCAATGCCGAACACAGGAACAGCTTGACGTCGATGGCAGTGATGAATCAGCTCAGCTCCCTAATCAGTTACCCCCCCCCCCCCCCCCCCCCCCCCTAAAAAATAAGCACAAGTCATTCAGAAATGCTCTTCAAGGATACGGGGGCGGATCATTGAGTCAGAAATGATAAAAGTGCACTCCTCTCACTGCATCTGCTTTAAACTGCTGGCATTACCTTTTCAGCTCAAGTAAATTGACTTTAATGGCTTCCTGGCTCTTCAGAAGCCTCGGCTATCAGAGGGAACTGATAAGATGTTTGTTAGCTAAAGGTGGGGAAAGGGTGACCCGATGGGATGGGTTTTGCTAAGTGGATGATAACCGTGAGGAAAATAAACAGCCATGTAAATTTAAACCGAATGGATGAAGGAACAGTAAAACCTGTGATGCTTTAGTTTAACATGGTTTGGTGTCCACTTCAGGATTGTCCTTAGGCCTCGGGAGAATGTCTTCAGACCAAATCAGGAAGAAAAGCCACCAGGAAAGGACATTTTAACAAATCATACGTCTTTTCTTCGTACCTGCTGCCCTCTTGATTTTAGTGAAAAAGCTTCAAGAAAGAGAAAGTACCAAAACAAAAGTAACACTAAATAAGATTCACGCTTCTTCCTCCTTCTGGTTGAAAGCAGAATAAGTAGAACTGTAGCTAGAGCTAACAATGAGCTAATGCTAACATGAGCCTACTAATACTAAAATAAACCACAAAGTAAAAAGATCCACACTATTGAACAAAAAAAAAATTACTTACAAGTCCCATTGCAGCAAAGCCAAGTCTGTGTTTTTTTTAGCCTCCTTCAGCTCTCTCCAACTAGCGTGGGCCGCACCGATGTCCACTCTGGTTTTAGCTCTTTGCTTCACCTCCAGACATTACTCTCTTACTTTTACTTCCAGGCTCTGCCATGATGCCAACACAAAAATCTAAATTCTTCTTCTCTTTATTTTGACAGGAAGTGAACAATTAAAGCTAACTGCTATATCAATAAAGCTGCCTTAAAATGAGCTACCAGCACCGTGAAAGACCGGCCTCCACAGGCGCCAACAGGAAGTTACTAAGTGCAGTCTGAGGGCAGCAGAGCTGTCCGGTTTCAAGTTCCTCAAGAATCACTGAACTAGTTTGAAAGCATTAGCTTAATGTGTTACAATATTTTAGTGCAGCTTTAATGCTTTCTCATCTGGTGGCATTTTTCCCCTTCATACCAGATGCTTTCATGTATGATGTTTTCATTTATTTTTACTGATACTTGTTTTTTGTCTGCAGGCTCTTTGGTCTTCAGATTTAAAGGTATAGCAATCAATGTTTTTCTTCCGGGTGGATCACGTCAACCATTGGTCCGCAAAAAATGTCAATTTTTGGTGAAGCCAATCCTGGGTTAGTTTTTACTTCCTGTGCATGCGTGGTCTGTGCACCCCCGCACTCTCATGGAAATCAGGAAGAGGCTAACGCGGTCCAGTCCGCTCCCCAAAGACGTCGCTGTTGCCGGTTTTCTGCTCGAGAGGTAAGCTAATGTTCTGCATGCTATTTTTGGAGCCTCTTATTACACAATACGGCCGGCAGCTACTTGTAAACAGGCGCTGGGAGAGTGCAGCGCAACGTGGAGAGGGCGGTGCTTTCCTGAAATTCAGAAACATCGATTGCTATACCTTTAAGGTGTTTTTGAGACGCGAGAATGTCCAAAAATTAAATTTACGTGTAGCTGGTGGTCAGACCACCAGTTGTGCAACAATCTCACTATTTTAGCTCTCGTTTAACTTTTTCAAATTACCCTTTATTTATTTTTCTTTCAACAGTTTTTTAAAAGTTTAGACGACCAGTTGGGCTGGACTGGGGGCAAAGTGCTCAGTTAGGAATCCATCTTGAATTTCTGCTCCACTGACAGTTCCATGGATTAAAAAACTCGTGTTCATTTACTTACATCTCAGAGCCGGGGCTTTGGGCATTGACCCTGTTCAAACCTTAGGTTGGATAAAGAACCAGGAACGGTGAAGGGATTGTTGTCCTCCAGTATTTATTAAATATTGATGCTGTCTTTGATTCTGTAGTGCCTTAAAGCTGTTCTGTCAATACAACTCAGTGTTTGGGCCCATAGATCTTTTTATTTGATATCTTCTTAAATGATCTTTTCTTGGGGAGTGCAAACTAAAAAGCCATAACAATGTGACCACCAACAGTCTAAGGAGACTAAGTTAGACCCTGCTGAGTGAAAGTCTATCTGCTCCGATGTTGGCAACACCTCCCTTCATCTAACAACCAGGACACTTCAAACCCTGCCTTGTTTGTTTGTTATATATGTGGAAAACAAAGGCTAAAGACTGATTTTCTACTTCTCCATCTGTGTGGGTAAAGAGATGCGCAACGCCATGATGCTATGGTAGATTTGTCAAGTCCTGAGTAGTCAGAGTAGCCTTTAGATTAGCATATCGCTAATGAATGTCTGCGTCAGACAATTTCTCCAAATATGTCGTCTAAAAATAATTTTTATTAGAAGTTTTGTGACCTGGTGATTACACCCCTCTTGTTTGTGCCATGCTAGGCTAGGCTAGGCTAGGCGTTCCTCTGTTCTTGTTGTCCACAAGTCAGTAGGTTCATGAATCACCATCTCTTTGCTTTTGTCACGATAACAAAAGTGTTACTCAACATGTAAAAGCATGTAATCTTTATTTCTAAAATGCATCTGCTAGCACCAGCAGGAGCTACGGTTTCAGACGGCATTAGCACTGTGGCTAAAATAACTGCAGAAAACCAATCAATTGCATTTATTATTATAATTTTTCTGTCAAGTTATTGACTGAAAGTCACACATAAAAACAGAGTAATTTCCCTTCCGACATGAAGTGCCTTTGGACGCCGACTGCAGTGACATCCAACCAAAGCAGACTTGAGGTTCAGACATGAATCTACATTCAAAACCTCCATTTTTCATGAGGCGAAACACTTTCAGCTCAGTAGTTGCGGTCTTTAAATACGTTTAGTCAAAAAGGGTTTCCACTGACAATCAACTCCAGGCAGCACAGCAGTCGTTTGTGAGTGGTATTGCTTTTGTTTGTGTCTGGTCTACAAGGGAACTACATCATATTTCCAAGTAGCTGGAACAGTACAAGCACATTTAGACTTAAAATGATATTTTGTTGTCGTTTGTGAAAATAAATGAAAAACGCATCGGTAGCATTGAGTTCCAGATAGACTACCAGTAGAACATTGGTAGCTTTCATTCCACAGCCTCGGATATATAACAATTACATCACTTTGGAAAAACACTTTTTTGGCTTATCTGGCTACATTTCTGCCCAAGTGTGGAGTATGGGTAATTATATGTAAATGAGTCCCACTGCGCCGTTGGTCATACATACTGAAACAAGTAGAGAACGTTCTAGCTGATTATTCTCCATTTTTCTTGCTCTCCACTTGTTCATAGAGAAGTGGTGATTTCTGTTGTTACGCGTTTCTTTTTGTCCACAATGGGTTTTTTTAACATGTATGTTCAGAGCACTTTGAGTACAGGAGCGTAGGACTGCAGTTTCCATCAAATGTACATATGTAATGTTTTGACGAGCAACAGTAATAAACTGAATGTTCAAACAGTACAGTTTTTTTAATTAACAAAGTGTTGTACAAATTGGTTAAATTATGACCTTTGCACTTCTTTCAGTGTCACATAACATGGCTATTCCACCAAAAATCGGAATGAGCTACGGCTAACGTTAGCCGCTATTTATGCTAACAAATAACAGACTTCTGTTTAAATAACTAATGTTTCTATTTAGAAGTGGGAATAGAAATATATTTGGGGTTTTTACACTATGATCAGCTCTGGCTGGGCTAGGTGGAGTCATTGCACCTACCTTGGTGTTGCTCACGCGGAGCTGAGCACTTTTTATTTTTCGACCTTGCTTCCCTGCAGTTCATTTTATGCTGAGCCGACCCCACACACCCACCCATGTGACTGTCCCAACCTGGCCCAAGCAGAGCTGACTTTTTACTCCCTGGGTGGACATCTGGGCTCCAGTAGCTCTTCACCTGCTCATGTAAAAGTGTGACAACAGTCTCCTAAAAAGGGGAACTCTAGGTTACACAAGTTAAGTGAACACAGATCATGACCTCGTCTAATGCACCTTAGTGAGTGACACTTCCACTGGATGTTAAGGGCTAAACCTGACTATTACATTCCTGATGCATTTACAGCTTTAAAGAGACAATGTGTAGTTTTTACCGTTAATCTCTGGAAATATCCATCAAAATGTTGTTAAAAAGGAATTAAATGGTGCCCAGTTGTTGTAAAATATTGGTGACTTCGTAACATAACCAAAAAAATCAGGTCTAAAATACATGGGAGCGGGTCTAAGTCTCTGGGCGACGCCATATTTCTGTCTACGGGAGCCCATGAGGACAAAATGCATTTACTGATTTGTAACAAACGGTTACAAATCTGACCATTTGTAAACAACGTTGTTTTACACATTTACATCTTCACTTGTTGCCAATGATGAAAGGGAGTCTGGTGTCATTTTGCTGAAGGTTGCACTTCCCAGGGCTTTTTGACCCTATTAGGCATCTGTTGGTAAGGTCTTACTCCAACACAAAAATACTGCTTGCTTGCAACAATTTAGGCATCTACTGCCCCCATCGCCAGGAAAAAACACACACCGTCACTTTAAAGCAGTTTTTTTTCTCAAAGGGCACCATCTAGAGGTGGAAAAAATGTACTACACTTTAAGCCCCTTTCTCTACTTTTGTGATTACAGCCAAAAGCAATGCTTCTTTTTCGTGAACGCACACTTCTAACTGGCCGACAGACCTAAAACACATTGTTTAACAGTTATTGTTCTCATGTTATGTTGTTTATTCATATATATAATGTAAAGACTTACTTATCCATTTGAAATGTCGCCATCTCTGCATCAGTGTAAGTACTTTCATAAACAGTGTGCACGCTCGGTTACTGACATCTGTATGTAAGCGGATGTCAACGCTATTGGCTAATGCTAAATCGTGCTAAGTTCAAATAGAATGGGGCTATATGGGACGGGGGCGGGCTTAGCAAAAAAATGTATTGTCTACATTTAATTTCACAGAACTGTCACTGTTACAGGTTTCTAAAAATCATACATCATTCCTGAACGGGGGAAAACTAACCAATTCAGCAAATCAGAACTCATCATTTAAGAGTTTATGTGGCTAACATCTAATTCCCTAGCGATTGCATTCAGCTCCTGGTGATTCTTTCGTTTCTATTTTCTCTTCACACACTCCCACACCACAAGAGACGCAGCGAGGTTTAGGCCATGACACTGGTTTATTTTTGTCACATCATTCTTTCAGTCACAAGTCAGTCCCACAGCCGAGTGAACGGCCACAGCGTCTACGGGTTCACCAGGAACGTTAGAGGAGACAATGAAGGCTAAAACGTCGTGATTCCAAACTAAAAACGTCCCATTTTTTATGTTCCACATTTGTCAGCTTATCCATTACCGCCTCTGCCACATCCTCCATTTCTATGGAGATAAATGAATGAAATTACACAAACAGCGCACGCTTTATTTCTACAACAGTGCAATGAACGTTAAATATCCACTTACAGAAAACAAACTAAGAAAAAATAGAATAAATACAAAAACGCTGAACGCTTCGTCATGGAAACGACTTTCTCCTGTCTTTTAGACATTTCCTTAAACGCAGAGGAGCACAGTAACAAAAACAGGCAGGAAAAGAAGTTATAAAATACAGCTCACGATTTACTAATCAGAGTTTAGCTTTCATACAAAGACTAGAAAGCACTCGAGCTACTCAGAAAGCCAGCTGGGACAGGGAGGGGGAGTCTCAAGTGATGGTACACTGCTAAGTGACTGCTGTTCCTTACCGTTAGATGATTAGACACTATTGTCAGGCTTTGAATAGAAACCAGGAGGGATGAAAGTGAAAAGAGGGCAATTACCCAGGCTTTTGTCAATGGTTTTACTCGGGGAGGGTTAGAGAAGTGAAAAGAATCATTACACGGGCTTTTGTCTTTCCTCTTCTGTGTGATGGTTACTGTCTAATATTGTTTTGCCAACCACCCCCCCCCCCCCCCCCCACCCCCCCCAACAAATAATTACACACTACATTTAATTAGGGAGAGATGGGTGGGTGGGGAAGCTGGTCCCAAACAACCCTGTCAGCGTTCTGACTCCGAGACGAGCTTGTTAACTCATTTCAAGCCGCCTTGTGAATGTTAAACAGTGTCAGCGTGATCCCTGATTCAAAAACTCACACGGATAATTAGAGTCTGACAGCATTTGTTGGTTCTTCGCTGCCTCGCACGCTGACACACGTGAAATTCTCACGTCTGTCCTCGAGCGCTTACAGCACGCTTGTTGTTTTGTCGCGGGGCCGCCGTGTGGGCAGGTTGGCATAGATGGGGTGGATTTTAGTCTTCCTGGGATTCTGTGCAGGCTGGGGACGAACAGGGATGTTCTCATAGAGGTTTGGCTGTGAGGATGTAGTACAGTGTTAATCTGTTTGTGAGGAGTTAAAGGAAAACACACAAGTTTCACCAACAGTGCAAGATGGCACCATGTTGGTTGAGGATGAATTTTACGGTTTTGGGTTAACTACTGAAGGGATGTGATGTTTAAATGTTAACTGTAGAGTTTAATAGGTCTGTAGTTCAGAGCATGTCTCATGAGAAGGTAAGGGAGGGCCTTAAAAGAATCGAGCGTAAAGACTAGAGTAGAAACGATGAATAAACCAACATCTACCTGTCTGTTAGACGGGTGAAGTTTGACTCGGTACTCCGTTCTCTTCCTTTTCTTTCTGTGACGGTCAGACAAAAACAGACAGCTTTCAGACTTTTTTGCTTCAACAAAGCTAAAAACCAGAGTAAAGAATGCAAGTTTGAAGCTACAAGGAACCAAAACGCCCTCTAGTGGTGAGTAGGTGGTACTTTTAGCTCCAATCCAGTGGCGTGTCTGGGGCGGCCCAGTGCATGGGTGGCACCAATAGTTTTTTTTTTTTTGAGGGCGGGATGTGTGTGTGTGTGTGTGTGTGTGTGTGTGTGTGTGTGTGTGTGTGTGTGTGTGTGTGTGTGAGAGAGACAAGATCATTTATTTTTTGCACTCTAGTGAGTTTGTGAGCCCCACATTTTGCTGCCTTCTTCTTCAAGCTAGTGACGGTTAGCATAGCACGATGCTCCTTCGTGTATTACCAGAGTGGCTAGAAATCAATGTTAAGTGTATCCTGCCACCTGCTGTTGGGGGTTTTATGACCCCAAGCTTTTTGTGAACAATGTAAAGTGCATTTAGATAGAACTCAGTGGGGTGGCCAATCAGATTCAAAGGGTGGCATGTGCTACCCCAGGCCACTCCCTGTACACGCCCCTGCCCCAATCACAGTGGGAGAATTTGGCGACACTTTTGAACAATAACAGTAAGCCGAAACACTGCATTTATTATTAAATGAATGTAACCAATGTGCAACGGTAGCGTCATACCAAACCAGTAACTTTCACAAACATTTTTATGGAAATTTGCCTTCTGCGTGTTTAAGTGTCGCGTTAATTAGCATGTTAGCTGAAATAGCTCAGCGTTGAGATGCTATGCTAGATTTTAAGCAGTATCTGCATGTATTGGCCACATTTTCAAACGTGTATGCCAGAGTTTCCAAATGTCTAGAAACGTTCATGAGCGTTTTTTGATTTCTCTTGGTAAGACTCAGGGCCTCGATCTCACATCACTGAATTTTGAACCCATTTAATACATTTGAAAGACAAATTTCCTCTGTAAACCTTTGAGGTAAGCTTTTTTGGAACCCATCTGGAGTAAAAAAAAATGTCAGATGATTCTGAGAAGGGTTTGGAGATCAGATTGGAAACAAATTGAGACATAATTAGGAAACTTTGACTTAAAAAGCTACTAGCTAAAAAGAACTTCTCGAGATCCTTCAGGCCTTTGTCTACTGCGTGAAAAACATCGACTATCATCAGACATCTTAGGTGTGTTCTTGCTGTGTCGTATCTCTAATTCCATGCTGTAGTTCTTTTTTAAAACACAGAGCAGTTTTTGTTTACCTGTTTTCCCGCTACGTTTTGTTTGTGGCTGCAGACTTCCTCAGGCTGACGCTGATGGTGGCGTCACTTCCTTCTCCGTTTATCCGCGGGCAGCAGAGGACGTTGTCGCCCTCTGCTGCCCGCTCTCCCCTCTCCGACGTTGCAGTCCCATGCACGGTCCAACGTGTAAACTCCATCGTCTCTGTTCATGGTCCCACATCCACGTCTCCTCATCTCTATAGCTTCTTTTATCCATCTTTTGTATTTTTGTTCGGTGTTTATGATCCTTGTGTTGTCCCAGTCCATTATATGGTTTTCTCTTATGCAGTGATCTGTTACGGCTGACTTCTTTATTGTGCTTTCTGCTTCTTGTTTTGCTGCTCTTGTGTGTTTTCGACTTGCCTCTTTCTCACACTCCTTTCTATGTTCTATTGTTCGTGTGTTGAGTTGGCGTCCGGTTTCTCCTATGTATGTTTTATAGCAGAGTTTGCATGAGATTTCGTAAATGACTCCACATTTAAGTCCAGCTGATATTTTGTCTTTTGGGTGTACTAGTCTGTTTCTAACTGTTGTGTATGGTTTTGTTGGTGTGTTTATGTTGTGTTTTTTCATTGTTGCTCTTATTTTTTCTGTTATGCCTTTAATGTACGGTAGGGTTATCACTGGTTAACTACTGAACACACAAGAGCAGCAAAACAAGAAGCAGAAAGTACAATAAAGAAGTCAGCCGTAACAGATCACTGCATAAGAGAAAACCATGTAATGGACTGGGACAACACAAGGATCATAAACACCGAACAACAGAAATACAAAAGATGGAAAAAAGAAGCTATAGAGATAAGGAGACGAGGATGTGGGACCATGAACAGACGATGGAGTTTACACGTTGGACCGTGCATGGGACTGCATCGTCAGAGAGAGGAGAGCGGGCAGCAGAGGGCGACAACATCCTCTGCTGCCCGCAGATAAACAGAGAAGGAAGTGACGCCACCATCAGCGTCAGCCTGAGGAAGTCTGCAGCCGCAAACGAAACGTAGCGGGAAAACAGGTAAACAAAAACCGCTCTGTGTTTTAAAAAAGAACTACAGCATGGTATCATCAGACATTTCATGTCTACTGAAGTATACCTGTGCCTCATTGCCAATATGAGAATGACAGTGAGCAGAATGAGTCCAGCAGCTCCAGCTCCGATGTAAATGTACATCATGTATAACGTCATGCTGAATCCACCTGCTTGTAGGATGAAAACAAGCAAATGAATTAAATGAACGCCCAAAGATAAACACTACAACTCTGTAATTTTAAACCCATCAGATGAAGGGCAAATGTGATGCAGTGATAAGATAATCTGCTAGCTGCAAATTCAAACATGCAGAGCAGCTTGAGGCAGGACTTTGTGGTTTTAAGTTTTTAGTTCCCATGCATGCATGCGTCAGTGGAGATGTACCTGGAGCAGCAACAGTGAGCAGCACGGTGGTGGTCCGTACGCCCACATCGGTGTTAAAGGTGCAGCGATAGAAACCGCTGTCTTCCTGTGCAACGTCAGCCAGATGCAGACTGACATCCAGGCTGTCTGTGCAGTCCACGCTGCCCCTGTCGCTGTAGTCCTCGCCCACCAGGCCCCCCTCCACCTTCTTACAAACTCCGATGATGACCCAGGGCTGGCCGAGCAGCCTCCTCTCAAAGATGACCTGGTAGACCGTGGTGTTGTGCCGGTGGTGACACCGAACAGTCATGTTGTTGCTCTCCTCTGCCACCAGCTGTGTGTCTGCTACCGTCTCCTCTGTGGGCGGGGGCTCGGTGCTGTTATCGTCTTCGGGTGGCTCATCTGCAGAAGGAGCGCCCACGTTTCATTTCCTACATCTGTGGGTCTGTTTTTGCTTGGCGAGTCGTTCCACTTACCTAAATCTTCCACCTGGATGTCCCTGGTCCACGGTCCCTGAGGGAAGGTCTGGACGGAGCAGTGGTACCGCCCGATGTCCTGATGAGTGACGTTCCTCAGGGAGATGCTACCATCCATGGGTGTGTTCCTCAGGAACTCTATTCTCTCTGAGTACGGGTGAGACAGGGACACCCCAAGGTCTGGATGGAACACAGCCATGGGGTTTTTGTCTGGTGCTTTGGTCCAGGACACCATGGTGAGCTTTCCGTCCCAGGGACAGGAACAGTCCAGCACCATCCCCTCCTCCAGCCGGACCACGTCAGGTTCCCTCTGCTGGACAGAACCTGGACAGAAAGGGCTTAGTTAAGACGAGCTTCCCACTGGGGAAGTGTATGTGATTCTGTTAGATGTTGCTGTTAAGAATTCAGCAAATCTTTTAAAGAGCAAGTCACCCCCAAATCACTTTTTTTTTGCTGATAAACTATATAAAGGAGTGTCTAATCATGCTACAGACATGTGTAGTCAATAATTTGGCAGTTCAGTGCATCTTGGTTAAAATTCAAATATTCTGCCTAAAACTGTCAGTGTTGCGCCGTCGTCAGGAAAAAATTCTGCACTGTATTTGAATTTAAATCTGCCACCGCTATTGGCTAAGAGGTATGCTATGATGTCATCTGGTACATTATGATGTCATTATGCCATTGTGAGCCTGTGTGTATGTGTATTTGTTAGCGGCTCCGCCCTCTCGGTCTGCCAAGCAACAGTATTTGTTGCAGTTTTCAAACATGAAGTGGGAGTGAAGTAAGTTTCTTGTAGGGGGTGACTTGCTCTTTAAAGTGATCAATAGTGAATGTTTGGTTCTTAACTCTGAGACATAAAAAGGCTCCTGAAACTTTTTAGACACTTTCTCTCATGAAATTGACCAAAAGAACTCAGTTTTACATCCGAAACATCTCCAACAAGGTGATTTCTGAAGGGAAATTACCTCAAAAGTTCACACTGATGATTATCTACTGGTGGATGAGGCACCTCTACAGTCATTTCTGCTCTTTCATTCATTTTTCCCTACATTCTTGTAAAGTTTTTAATATTTTCAAACATATTATGAAGTCTTATTCCAGTAAAATGGCAGAAAATGAGTCAACGAAAACTATTCATCATGACCTTTATTTAAAAAAATAATAAAAATCGAGCTCATTGGAAGCAAAATATAAACAAATTAGGAGGTTTTAAAACTTTGGAGCAGTGCAGCATATCTAAGTTTGTTTGTCTTTAGTATTTTAATGAACTGGGTCACAAACTTACAGAAAGAAGTGAACTTAAAAATAAACGAGCTCACGTGGAAGACAAACACTGAAGGTTTAAGGCTGTTAGAGGTATAATTAGGCCAGTGCACAAAAACAAACATCACAAAAACTGCAGATTCAACCCTTAAAATCTTTTATTTAAGCTGAAGAAACAGATTTTACATTTCTTTTGTCTAATCATTAAACTCCAACTTGTTTTAAATGAGAAAACAGTAAGAATCCTCACTTTAAGCTGTCTACAGTCAAAATATTAGCATATTTCAGCCCAAAAATATCAGTTTACACTTTTAAATAATAGACAATGTCCATACCTTTAAGAAAAGGGAGAAAGACGAGTGCCGTGAAGTACCAGCAGCCCTTTTGTACAGCTTTCATTTTGCCCCACAGAGGGAGAATGAAGGCAGCATTGACGAGCAGAGGAGAGGCGCACGAGCTGCACTTCCTGTTAGCGCTCCGGCTGCAGCGGAGCTCTCGAGCTGCTGGGAGGCACTTCATGGTCCGTGGTTCCACAGAGGGGCACTTTGTCACCAACATGATGACTAAATACCTCATAGTTATGAAGATTTGAACACTGTGTTGTGTCTTTTTTGTTTGTTTTTTTATAGGAGGGGAGCGCTTCTAAGCACTGGGATGAAATTTAAGTTTAGTTTGAGGTAAAGTTAGTTTGGTGTGAGTTCTGGTTTGTGGGATTCACAACACATCTAGAGCCACACGATCGTTTCTAGAAATAAAATAAAAGAGAGGACACACCAGAAAAAAAATTCAATTTCATTTATTAACCATATTAAAACATAGGAACAGATTTCATACATTCAGCAGCAGCAGGGAGAGCTGCTCCAGGCACTTCAGCAGGTAAACACTTAGAGGATCCTGCTTCTTCTCTGCATCTGCAATTAGGAGCAAAATAAACATCAACTATGCAAATGTGCTAATTAAACTCATTAAAATGAGTGAATACGTGCCTGTCTTAAAGGTGGAAAGGGCCTCTTTGATTTTTAACCGCACAGAAGGACACTTCAGGGCAGTTTTAGCCTTTTTGAGAGGAATAAATGAGAAACCGATTAGAAAAAATGGCCAGTTTATTAAAAAAAGATATAACTTCAATGAGAATATAACGTATTATTGATGTGTAGGTGTGTGGTGGTGTGTTTGTACCCTCTGATTGTTGTGGAGTAACGCCCACAGGGCAGATGCTCCCATACAGCAGGTTTCCATCTCTCTACTTTCAAGACACGACATCAAAACCTTGATGGAATTTTCTAGAAGAAACAGAAACATCTTTACTGAGCTGCTCGTTTTTTAACAAGCGGGTGCTGATCTGATCTTCGACGACCTTAAGGGTCGCAGGAAACGCCATTTTCCACAGGAAACAATGATGGCGGGGGTGGGGGGGCGACAGCCAATCTGTTTTAGTCTCAGCAGCTTCCTCTGCTTTCATCTGACATTATTATACCTTCTTCTTCTAAACAGCCACTCTGAAACGACTCACTTTTCAATTTCTTATGATTTTCTTTTGTGATCAGGTTCGAGTTTTGATAAAATGATTCTTTCCTGCAAAGATTAACAAGCTTTAGGCTTCTGACATGCAGGCACGTCTGTCAGCTGAGAGAAACCCCGTAGAAAGATCCCCTTAAACACTCCCCAAAGCGCCGAGGCTTGTGAGGGAAGGACACAAACACGACCCCGCCTGCCCTCCGTACCGTTGGAGATGACGTGGGATTTGTTGGCCGGGCAGAAGCAGAGGTTGTGGAGCGTGAGCAACGCATGTCGTCGATGTGGTGCCAAGTCCGCCAGCAGCTCCAGAGCGCCGGTCACCTTAAGGATGCTCTGCTGGCCGTCCTCGGTGGACGACAGGCTGACCAACAGCCTCAGCCACAGGCTCAGGGGGCTCGTAGCGCCAGACGTGGCCTTCGCGCCGGCCGCTTTGGGCACCGGCACCAGCAGAAACGCTTGAAGGAAATTATTCTGGGAATCACAGGAGAATGAAATCTCAGAGCACCAGTCAGGATATAATCACAAATCATGAAATCGTTAGGTCTGTACCTTCTGCAGGATGCACCTGCAGTCCCGCGACACGGTCAGGTTAACCAGGAGAGAGAAGGAGAGGCTCTGAACGGCGCTGCAGTCTGCCGTAAGCGAGGTCAGCTTCATGACCGAGTGCATCAGAGAGCCTTTAGAACCCGGTACGCCACCTGGGACGCTGCTGCACAGAGAACTGCATGCTGGGAAATAAAACAAATAAAACCCAAATTTACAGATAAATAAAATCACAGATCAATTTTAACAGGACTCAATTTTCCAACTGTGTGTGTTTAAAACAAAAACGTAGACTTTAAGCAACAAAAGTCCTTAGAAAAAAACTATTTGTAAGAATAAACATCAGATCCCGTTCTAAAATCTGTTCATTTTTAATTATTAAACCATTTTTCTTTTGTAAAAAAATGCTTCTTGGACATGAGAACAAACACTTGCAGTTTTCTAATATCATTATTAATGAATAACAAGCCATAATAGTAATTCTAATATGAAACACAGGAAAGTTGTCTAAAAGAATTTAACACGGATTTTCTCAGAACCAGTCGGCTTCTTTCTGTTCATCTTAACGCCGGGTTAGCTCGGCCTGCAGCACAAACACACACCGGAGCTTTGGCCACTAGACCAACACCTCCATGCATGACTATGTGTAGCTCCTCTTTATGCAGAAGCTGTCCAACACACTGGTGACGAGTGGAACATGAGTGCTACGAGAGGGAAGTGGAGTCTGTAGGAGCTGCTTAAGGTGATGAGCTAATAGCAAAAGGCTGGTTTGTTTCATAATTCAACTATCGTGCTTTTCTGAAAGGGAGGGATTAGCTTCAGGCTGCAGACACTTTTCTTATAGACTAAAAATCTAAAAACCCCTAGTCGTAGCTAAAGATTCTGCTCTGCAGGTCAGTCTAGCCACACTGCACTGTAGCCTCAGCAGGTCTATCGAAGCGAAGTGTAGGCCGGGCCAATCACAGCGATCTGATTGTGGACGTTGGGTGTGGCAGCGTCTTTGGATGATTTGGACTTGGGGTTTCTTTGAGACGGGAGCAGACAGAGGTACTTCCTTATCTTCTGCAGCGGTGTACGGTGGGAAAAAAGAACACAAAAAATATTCTACTTTACTGTGCGGAAAAACATCTAAAGAAAACACAAACGTGTTTTTAAACTAGCCACACTGACCAAGTTCTGGATGGAGGTGGTATAGAGGAGATGAAAGAGCAAACAGACATGTCGGTGTGTCGGGAGACACGGCGGTAGCCTGAGGGTGGATGGCGTAACGCTAAACCTGAACACATCCCGCTGTTCCGCTAACCGTCAGGGAATAGAGTCTGACTTCCCTGGTTTCTGATGCTCAGCTACAGGTTACGGGGAGGCCCAGAAGCAAGGGAAATGGAGCAGAGTGTAACACACGCCCACAATATATTTTTCTTTTTTTATCAGTTTGCTAAAGCCTCCGCCATTTTCCTCCTGCAGGAGGACCAGCCGGGTACTGTAGTTTAAAACTCATTCATGTCTGCTCTTTGCATATGATGCCGTCCTCTCGGCTCCGTCTCTGACCTTTAGCTCTTGCTAGAAAGGGTCACCGCTAGAGGTGCTGAAAAAAATGATTCAAGTCTGAATCGGGATTCTTATTTATGAAGGTCCAGAATCGGTTCCAAGAACTCAAGTATTTGGCATGTTACAGGTTTGAGATGCACTTTTGTCTGTTTTTGGATCTTTGTTTGGAGAGTCAGTACTCCGTTTACTTTTGTGCGCCCATAAACTGAGATGATTTATGTTTGAATCTGCTGATACGAGGGCACTTGAATGTAATTTTTTCCATACTCAGAAATTTGAGATATTCTCATATTTATTTTCTAAGTTGATAAATGAGTACTCAGGATTACTCATGCATTTATTTAAGTTATTGATAAATGAGAGAACATTTTCCTTTGTAAGAAATCTGAGGCACTGTTTTAAACAGGTTGAGGACTCAAATGTTAAATTTGTTTCTACACATACCGTAAATCCTCTAATATTAGCCTGTATTTAATTAACTGCTGGGTATCATATTTTGGCCGGTGTTGGAGTCGGCGGAGGTGAATAATGGCCGGGTGGAATGTGGTAACAAGCAAGTACTGGGGGCGGTTGTGTCATCCGTCTCACTTTTGATTTGCCAGTGATAGACCGCGAGGGTAACTTTAACCGTGCGGAGACGAAGAGGACGCGAAGATTTGATATCAAGTTCAAAGAGAACGTGCTGATTATGCTGCAGAACACTCTGGGGAGCAGTAGCAGGGGTTGTATGAACTAGTCACTAGTCGACTTCACCGCTCTATAAGGACTTTTTATGCCTGTCATCGACTAGTCGCTGTCACATGATAATGACCGGCAAGATGCAGTCCTCGGAAAAGACAGCAGCCTGCTGTCAGCAGGTGACAAGCTCCTGCGCGTCGGGAGGCAAAGCGCTGTGCCAGAGCGTTGGTACTGACACCCGCCATAAAACGGACATTTAACCAAATTGTGACCTTTACCCTCTTGCAATTTAACCTTCCCCTCACCCCCATCATAACCTTAACCAGCTTGCGCATGCAAAGCTCTGATTGTTGACGCGCTCCAGACATCTGCGTCCTGAGCACGGCCACAGTAACATTATTAAATCAGGTGTCGCCACCTCAAAAACTAATTTAACACGCGATCGTTCATGTCGGCTCATTTCCTTTCATGTTTTCTGCCTTTTATTCTTTTATTTGTGTCTGATGCGTTTCGCTGCTGTGGATCGGGGCGCATCACCTGTTTTGTCCTCGGTGACGTCACTGATGTGGCCGGCGAGCACTCCGCTGTTTTTGCGGTCGGTAGATCTTTTAGAACTGCAGTTCGAAGGTAACTCATAAGGTGAATATATATGAACCCAGGCAGCAGTTTTTCTTTAGGATTGAGAGGAGATGCAGGAAGATAATAAACAGGCAGGACAGAAAAATACGCCAATCGGAGGTCACTAAAATTAATGTTGCTTCGGTGTGCAAGTTTGCCAAAACAATGTCGGACTCCGTAATTTTCTCTGGCCCCCTGCCTGATCGGACCAGTGACGACATGTTTAGCCACAGGCTGTCCTTCAACCGCTGGTTGTCTAGGTGATGTCCTGAAAACAACGTGGGCTACATTGATAATTGGAAAACTTTTTGAGGAAAATCTGGTCTGATGCGGAGAGACGGAATCCATCCCTCTTTGGATGGTGCAGCTCTTCTTTCTAGGAACATGGACAGTTTTATTAGTCCTCCATGACTACCCAGGGTCCAGACCAGGAAGCAGAGTCATAGTTTAACCCACCCCTCTGCAGCTTCTGTACTGTTACCCACCCACTACCCCATAGAGACAGTGTCCTGCCCACGGCCAAAATCACACAGATTAAATATCAGGCTTAATGAAGCTAATCATGGAAATCTCATAAATATTAGAACAAATTCAACTGAGCAGGAAACTAGAAAAATTTAATGTGGGTTATTGAACATTAGATCCATTTTTTCTAAGACTTTGTTAGTTAATGACTTGATTTGTGATAATCAGATGTCTTTGCTCTCTCTCACAGAATCGTGGCTGCAGCAAGAGGACTATGTTAGCTTAAACGAGTCGACTCCTTCTAATTATTTAAATCATCATATTGCTCGAAGTACAGGGCGAGGAGGAGGAGTAGCAACCATTTTTCATTCAGACTTATTAATCAATCCCTTACAGATTAATAGCTACAGTTCGTTCGAACATCTTATTCTTAGTTTTCCTAATCCAGATTGCAAAACTGTAAAACCACTCTTGTTTGTAGTTTATATCGTCCACCAGGCCCTTACTCTGAGTTTTTGGATCAGATCTCTGATTTTTTTATCTGATTTGGTGCTAAATACTGATAAGGTCATTGTAGTGGGGGATTTTAACATTCATGTGGACATTGAAAATGATAGCCTCAATGTAGCCTTTAGTAATATCTTAGACTCAATTGGTTTTACTCAAAGAATACATAGCTCCACCCACTCCTGCCATCATACATTGGACCTTGTGCTGACTTATAGCATAGAGTGTGAGGAAATGACGATCTTTCCACATAATCCAGTCCTCTCGGACCACTTTCTGATAACCTTTGAATTTTTTATAACTGAGTTCTCGAGACATGAAAGCAAATTTCACTATAGTCGGTCTCTATCTGACAACGCAGTTGCGTCTTTTAAATCAACTGTTCCATCTTTACTGTCCTCAGCATCTCAGAGGCATGTAGGAGAGGGCAATATTTTCAGTTCTAGCCCCTCACAAATTGATGCCTTAGTTCATCATGTTAATTCCTCTTTACGTATGGCATTAGATGATGTTGCCCCTTTAAAAAAGAAGGTAATTAGGGACAGGAAGTGGGCTCCCTGGTTTAATTCTCATTTACGAGCCTTAAAACAAAACTCTAGGAAATTGGAGAGAACATGGCGCTCTACGCACCATGAGGAGGCCTACCTATCCTGGAAAATAGTCTTGTGCTTTATAAAAATAAGCTTCGACAAACTAGAACTGCTTATTTCTCAGCATTAATTGAGGAGAATAAGCATAATCCTAAATTTCTTTTCAGTACAGTTGCTAAACTTACACAGAATCATAGCTCTGAGCCATCTATTCCCTTAGCCCTCAGCAGCAATGACTTCATGGGATTTTTTACAAGTAAAAATAATTCTATTAGAAACAAAATCTTTAGCATCCTCCCTAATGCGATTTCTTCTTCCTCAGTAAGTGAGGCAGCATCAGAGGTGACTGTAGAACCTTATCTGTGCTTGAACCATTTTGATCCAGTTGAGCTTTCAGATTTATCAAAAATATTAGCTTCATCTAAACCTTCCACTTGCGTTTTGGATCCAATCCCAACCAAATTATTTAAAGGGGCATTTCCATTGGTTACTGCCCCCATTCTAGATATAATCAATCTATCCTTAGTAAATGGATATGCACCACAGGATTTTAAGGTTGCTGTAATCAAACCTTCACTTAAGAAGCCTTCTCTGGATCCAGATGACCCAGTGAATTATAGACCAATATCTAACCTTCCATTTTTAACCAAAGTCCTCGAGAAAATAGTGGCCATCCAAGTATGTGAGCATTTAAACACTAATGCTCTGTTTGAGGAATTTCAGTCTGGTTTTAGAGAGTATCACAGCACTGAAACTGTGTTAGTGAGAGTTACAAATGA